AAAAGCGTAAAATGAAATGATTTCCAATTCTATCATTTCAAAGAATATTACCTTAAAAAATTAAACAAATCATTAAAAATGGAAAAAAAAAGAAAGATAATCAGTAAAAAAAAATATATATGCATATATATTTTATATTATCTAAAAATCTATTTTCAACTTGGAAGAAAACACATCAAACTATTTTAACAACTGTAATCGTTTGCTGTTTATACTAAGAAAATTATAACTAGTGTAAAATGAAATAAATTTTAGATTTCGGTGTAAAAAGTTGGTGATTTAGAAGTAATTTTTTAAACGTCATTTTTCATTCATAGCCGCTCTGCGGCAGGTGGCAATCAATAATTTTGCCCGATACCGTTAACCAAAAAAGAATCAGCTGCCCAACACCTATTTTTAAATAAAGTATCTCCGCTATGCTTGAAATATACGGAGAACAGTGGTGGCTCAGGTGATAGAGCGTTCACATCTCAATGAGATGACCCCCAAGTTCGAATCCCAATGGTGGCTGGTTGATACGAATTCTGCTACTGACTCGCAGTGACCACAGTGCTGAAGTGAAATTTCCTCAGTTATAAACGGATAGAGCATGGGTAATCTCGCTGTCGTCAATCTAACCATGGAAGGTTTTAGTGGTTTTCCTCTCCATGTAACCCAGATGCGAGTTAGTTCCATCAAGAAGTCCTCCTCGAAGGCTATTTTGTCTCAATACTTGATTCAAGAGTTCTCTGTCTTCTTGATTGGGTTCGAAATTACGAGGCAACGGAATTAAGTATTGATAGTCGTCAACTCAAAATTGGGTTGGCTATTCATTATAAAATATAAGGAATAGACCAAAATTACGAGAAACGGTAACCATAGCTCGTATGCTGGATGACACTAATGTTATGTTATGTCTTAAGTTATGTCTTATTTTCATTCTACTACTAGTAGTGTTATGTCTTATTTCTAAAAACCATTTAACGTTATGACTCAGCATCATAACAAAATGTATCATATCTAACTAATTTCACGTTTTAAATCAAATTTTAACCGTATTTTAACTCATTGTCTTACAATAATTTACTGGTAAAATGGAAATTTTACTATTAGTAGGGTTAAGTGTTCAACTTTTCAACGCCGGTAAAAAAATAAATGTAAGAAATAAATTAAAATTGCGAAAAACGTTATCCATAGCTAACCTGCTGAATGTTACTAATGTTATATGTTATGGTACGTAATACCTTATGTTCACTCTAATATTAGTAGTGTAATGCCATATGTTTAAACTCCGTCCTACATAATTGTTCCGCATCATAATATAATGTATCATATCTAACTAATTATGCGTTTTAAATATCTTTATAACCTTCTTTTAACTGATTGCTTTAAAAAAAATTTAGTTGCAAATTAGTTATTAGTAGGGTTAAGTAAGGTAAAAAGGCCATAAAAGAAAACCATCTTCATTTCACTTAAACTAATATCAGAAAAAAAGAACACGCCAGGCGTAATTGATACATGTAAACAAAAATTAAAATGAAAAAAAAGGTACGATACAGCGAGTAAGTCTTTAAGTGTTAGATTTTGCGAAAACGAAATGGGAAGTGTAACATGATCCCCCATAAATGATTCAGCAAGACTAAGTTTGTTTTCTGACTAGCTTCCGGTTGGTGCTATACAGAAAAAAAAACTTCATTAGAAGAGCGCACCAGATGACCTGATAGGCTTAAAATGGCGCCTTACAGACTTTCACCCCCTAATTATCCCTTTGAATAAGATTTTAAGGATAAGGTCATTGAAAAGGACAACTTATATTAGCACTTATAAGCCTCAAAAAAATTATCCCTAAATTATTGTACATAAAGCCACAACATTTCTTTTTTTTTCCCCTTCTTTCTGGTTAGAAAAAAAAATCTTTATCCTCCTAGTCAGAAAGAGGGAGTAGTAGACTTGTAAAATAATACCCCTTAATCATTTTTCTTTGAAGTTGATATTTATGATTAGTTTTGAGAGCCGTTATAATCGTTCATTAGACAACTTTTATATCACTGGAAATTCTTGGTAAAAGACTTTTTACAGATTTTTTTTCGTCTACTTTGCATTTTGTCATTAAATATTACTAAAAAGATACTGGCTTAACTTTAACAGATACTCTGTTGAAGTTAAGCCAATATAAACAAATTTTTTGATGACTCGCGTTGTTAAACAAAATAGCAGCCATTTGCAATCAAATAAAATTTTATTGATATTTATGATTAGATTGATATTTATAAAATAGAATTGATATTTATAATATTGAAATTGAAATTTATGATTAGTTTTGAGAGAGATTATAACGGTCCATTAGACAACTTTTATATCACTGAAAATTCTTGGTAAAAGTTTCTTGCAGATTTTTTTCGTCTACTTTGCATTTTGTCATTAAATATTACTAAAAAGATACTGGCTTAACTTTAACAGATACTCTGTTAAAGTTAAGCCAATATAAACTAATTTTTTGATGACTCGCGTTGTTAAACAAAATAGCATCCATTTGCAATCAAATAATATTTAATTGATATTTATGATTAGATTGATATTTATAATATAGAATTGATATTTATAATATTGAATTGATATTTATAATACTGAATTGATATTTATAATATTAAAATTGATATTTATGGTTAGTTTTGAGAGTGATTATAACGGTCCATTAGACAACTTTTATATCACTGAAAATTCTCGGTAAAAGTTTTTGTAAGACTTCTTTTCATTTACTTTGCGTTTTCTCATTAGATTTTACAACAAAAATTAAATGCTTTTTAAACAAATACACTGTTAAAGTTAAGCCAGTATGAACTAATTTTTGACGACTCGCGTTGTTAAACAAGATAGCATTTGCAATTGAAGTTGTTTCGATTAAGTCATTTTTATTTTTAACATTATTTAAATAGCAAACAATAAAAACTATTTATAATTTAAACTTTCAAAGCATTTTTTTTTAAACTTATTCATCTATTTTTGTAGAAAAGCATATTCATTTATCCAGTCAAAAATAGTGAGTAGTGGGTTTGTAAAACAATTCAATTTAATAATTTTTTTAATAAAATTGACGATTATGATTAAATTTAAGAGCAATTGTAATCGTCCATTAGACAACCTTATTTATTGAGATCCTCTAATATCACTAAAGATTCTTGATCTCACAGAGGAAAAAAAACGTGGTCAAAACTACCAGAATACCGAAATTTACCGTGTGTGGCTCTACGAGAACACCAAAAACGTGCACTATGCGCTTAGGTAATGACTTTTGACAAGATTAGCAATAAAAATATGGTCTTATTACCATGCTGTTTGGTAGTAAATGTAGTAAAATTCTGTAACTTTATATGATACTTTTGAGAATGGTGTAAAAAAACATTTATTCGGTTAAATTTATTTTTCATTTTTGTATTTTTTTCTAAATGCGAGGTGATAAGAACTATAATTTTGAAAACTAGAATTTCTGGTAAAATGTTACCAAACGAACGAAAATATTATCAACTGAGGGCTTAAATACCGTATATTTTGGTTTTACAACCAGAATTACGTTTTTTTTTTAATATTATAGTTAACAAAAATATCATTACCTTACAAGCTTGGTAATTTTACCAAAATAGTTTTATTTATTTTTTTGTGTATGTTGACAAAATGTCAACCCAAGTGGGCATTGAAAAACAAAATTGTGCAGGTATGTAAAAGTTTTTTATGAATTTTTTATAGTCTACTTAGCATTTTGCCATGCAGAATTACACTAAAAAATATAAGAATTTTTTTAGTAAATACTCTGTTAAATTTAAGCCAATATCAATTAAACTTTTAATGACTTACGGCTTTAAACAATACAGCATTCGCGGCATAAGCCTCGTTAACTTCTTCTAAACTAAGATTTTTTTTCAGAATCATTTTTATAAAACGTAGATAATTTTTTTTTCCATGCTCAAAAATGTTTAAAATAAATAAATTTTATAAATGTTGCTCTAATATTTACTGAATGAATTACATTTTCCATGTCAACCTTGATGTTTATTCAAAATTCTTTAACAGGATACACTTCTAGTAGTTTTGGAAAAAGTTGAACAGTATTTTCGTAAATTCACTACAATCTTAATATAATGCCCAATTGAACCATATTATCACACAAATAATTTTTTCTCGAATTTCAATACACAATAAATTGGTTCAAACTTTATGGATAACAAATGAGCGGTTCGCAATGACATGTGATACTTCTTATAATATGACAATTCTCAAAAATGATTTTTATAGTAACATTTAGTTTGTTTTGTATTTTATTACAATTGTTTTTTAAGCAACCTTCAAAAAATATTTACATTAAATTTCCCATACACTGTTAAAAATTTGACAAATGAATTTAGTTATTTTTTCATGCTTTCCAATGGTGTAGATATGAGGTTAAAAACATTTTAAATTCCACACATTTCGATGCTACACTGTTAGAAATATTGGACCACATTGAACCATAATAGTGTTCAAATTTGCTGCAATCTTAATACAATGTTAAGTTGAACTATATTATTGCTCAAATTATTTATTCTTGAGCTTGATTACTCGATAACATGGTTCAACCACTAGCGAAAGAATGGTTTAATGTAACTCTTTGTTTACCGGTAATTTCATCCAGAAACTATGTTTTGTCACCCGCTATGACCCGTGACTGAAGATGGAAGTAAAGTAAAACATTATAAATGTAGACCTCACATTATAAATATGACCAAACGTTGTTGACCACATTGCAAGTGAAATGACGAACTAACTCGTCATCGATCAACGACGTTCGGGCCTGAAAAGACGAGCTAACTCGTCACCTATCAACAATGGGATAACGCTTTTTAAAATTGCCACTAATTAGCACAATAGTATGATTCAAAATACCGATATTATGGTTCAACACTAAATCGACTTTTTGAAAAGTGTATATAGATTAAACAATATTATTTCAACTGTAAAATAATTTATAGATTTTATTTCATTTATAGGTTTGGTTCCAGAACAGAAGAGCAAAATTTCGAAGAAATGAACGAACAATTTTAGCTCAACGAAATCAGCTCCGTCCTCCAATTCCATGTACTGAACAACCAGTAGTTCCAAGACCAACAACACTTCTACCATGGAAACCCCCTCACACTTACTGCGGCAATACATCCGCGGGGCCTCCGCTACACTATGGGATGCCGAACTTTCATTTGCGATCTCATGATTATGCACCACATCATTATGGTGCACCACCTTAATTTATGTTTTAAAAATAAGTAGTACCTGTTATATAAAGACATACAGTTTTGAAACATAAGTTAGTTTATATTGAGACATTGCGAATGTATGGTAAAATGTTTTATAATTCACATCATTATGGAAAACCACCTTAACTTCTATACATAAAAAAGGAAACTTTTGAGGCAGAAATTAATTTATTTACAAAAGCATTGTATTTAAAGAGCTTAGTGTATGAAGGTTTTAAGTGACATTCTTGAGAAATTGAGATTTTTCAGGGAAAGATTCCATTTTAATCTTATTTAACTATAATTTAATCAATCTTATTAAGTAATCTTATTTAAATATAAACATTAATTTATTTTGCCAAGTAATTTAAATTTTTAAATTTGAAACATAAGTTAGTTCATTTTGAGTTTTTACCGGATATGATGATAAGAAATTTCATGATTCACGGCATGATCGGGAACCAACTTAACTTTATATTCAAAATAAGAACTTTATAGAATGGAAAATTTCTGGGCAGAAATCAATTTATTAAAAACAAAAATAAAAAAAAAATAAAACATTTGATTGAAAGCGCATAGTGGATGAAGGTTTTAAGTGACGTTTTTGAGAAATTTATTAGGATCGGATCCTATTTTAAACCATACAACAGTATTTTATTTTGCCAAGTTTTTAAATGTGCATTTTCATAAGTTAGTCTATTTTGAGACATTACCGGATATGATAATGAAAAATTTAATGATAAGAAATAATGCTTAGAAACAAACTTAACTTTCTGTTGAAAATAAGAGTTGTTATACAGGAAGGAAAATTTTGAGGCAGAAATCAATTTATTTACGAAAAAGAGTTTAGTGGACGATGGTTCTGACATTTTTGAGAAATTGGGATTTTTCAGAGAAAGATCATGTTTCAATCTTATTCAACCAATATAAATATTAATTTATTTTACCACGTTTTTAAATTCCGCAGATCTCAGTGGAAGAATATACTAAATGACAATATTTCACTGTAATAAAATCTCAAGTATTGACAACAAATTGGGAAAATAATTTAATCTTCTGGCAGCAAATTGGAATCATAAATGTACGAAGGCTACGTGGCGAACAGTTTAATAAATTAGGGATTTATAGATTTCGCCAATTGAAAAAGCTTTTGGACAAGAAATAAAGGCTAGATTTAGTCTTTGTATTATATTGTCAACCTATAAACGGTAAAATAAATTAACTCAAATTCACTTAAATATCACTTGAAACCTTTAGGTACTCAACTTTTCATTTATGAGGCATAATGTTTATATTGTTCGAAAAATATCAACCGTAAAATTTAGTGTCATATTTAGTAAAAGTATATCTTATTAAAAAGGTAAACGTTTTCGCTGCAAAGTGTCCAAAATAGGATTTTCTTTTGCATTGTCTTTTCCATGATTTTTGAGAAGCTTCTAAAAAAATATCAATTTTTTTCCTATTCTGCACTTAAATTTATAACAGAATTTCTCAATTTTCTTAAAAAACTTAACATTTCTAATTCATGAAGAAAAAACAAATGTATTTTTTTCAAAATCTCGATACTTGATCAACTACTGAATTTTCAAAAAATATTTTCGCACAGAAAAAAATTGGTGAAAAAACTCAATTTCTAAAGGAGGAAATGGAAAAAAAACCGATAACTAAAGTCTATTTTTATACAATTTTGATAAAAACTGAAGTCATATGAAAAAATAAAAATTTAAAACCTTTATAGAAAACGGAAATATATATTACAAACATATATACACCGAAGAGCCATTACATTATGACCACCCTGCAAATAACATGTAGGACCACCTTTAGCCCTCAAAACTGCTAGCACCCACCATAGCACTGATTCCACAAGGTCATGATAGGTAGTCTGAGGTATCTGGTACCAAGCGCTCACCAACTGGTCCTGCAATTCCCTCACATTGCGAGGGGGTAGCGTGGCAGCACGAATTTGGTTTTCCAAGTAGGACCACAAATGCTCTATTGGATTAAGGTCAGGTGAATTTGGGGGCCAAGACATGACTTGAAAGTCACTGGAATGTTCCTCGAACCAATCCATGACGATTCGACCCTTATGACATGGTGCATTATCCTGTTGGTAAACACCATCCCCCGCAGGAAAAACTGTTGCCATGAATGGGTGAACCTGGTCTGCAACTATGTTCAAGTAGCTTACAGACGTCAGCGATTGTTCTACGAGGATTATGGGTCCTAATGTGCCCCATGAAAATATTGTGGGCGAGAAACCATGAAAACCTGGGCGAGCCCATTGTTATAGAAAGAGGGTGGTCATAATGTAATGGCTCTTCGGTGTATATATATATAGATATACATATCGGCAACATAGAGGCTCAAACGATCTGATTTTTGGTTTGTATTTATTATTTTTAACACTGTAACAAAAAAATTTCAAATTAAAAATATAAGGCCTGTATAAAGTTATCTAAAATATCAATATTTCATGTGAATAAAGGACTGGAATAGAAGGAAACTACGATAATCACTTCAGGCAGTGCGTAGTAGAAAGGCGCGTCCCCATAACGACTGATAATTTGAAAAATAAATTTATGAAAAACGAAAATAGGTGGAAATGTGCGGTTTACTGCTTAGGAAACAACACTTTTATTCTCTCCAATCAAGATATTAATTTAAAACAATGTCAGCAGACGGCGTTTCCGACACTGATAAGGAAAGTTGTTAAGCTTTAAAAAAAAGATAGAAATAAAAAATAAATTCCAGTTACAGCAACAACGAGGCACAGAGAGAAAAATTAGCATACAACCCCCGTAGACGTTTTCGGTTGGAATTTATCAAAAATAAAGCAAAAAACATTCATTTATATTCAACAACACCATTCAAGTCAACAGCGCCATCTGTTTACAATATTTGTACCTGAATTTGAAATTTCGCAAGAATAAATTTTTGGTTTCGTAAGTTAAACACAGCAATTGCTGTATTTAACTTACGAAACCAAAAATTTATAAGGGGTATAAAAATTTACGGATTAATCCGTACATTTTTATACCCCTTCCAATTCTTAAAAATGAGTTTCAAAATCATCCGTTACTTTTTGGGACACTCGGTGAAGGAAATTTTTAAAATAATAGTTTTCATCAAGTATGCAGCAAGTATAGAAAAGTAGTTTGTTCGGTCAAGCAAATAACTGGCGGTTTTCAATGGTAAAATATACATTTGTAGACGGTTTCTTTATATTTTTGTTCAAGGAGTAAAGAAAAAGAGCAACACTAAAATAATTTTTGTTTGCCATGGATTGAGAGGAAGACTTGTAAATATGCTAATTAATTAGTGCAGTCAATAAATTAGCTGCTAAATCAGACACAAAAACAATTTTTTTCGAAAAAAATACCTTTTTTTCGAAGGATTTAGATTTCTGACCATTAAAATAGGGGAAGCCGTAAACTAGGAAATATGATTCCTAATTCCGTCAGGAGAGAGGGTGATATTTAAGACTACATTTTGCTTTAAATTTAGAAATTTAATGTGAAAATTTGTATACTTTACAATTACATAACTATGCAATCATTTTTAAACTAAATCATTATAAATTACTGTTTTTTGCATGGAAAGATCTTAAAATAAATGAGTTTCATAATCGTGTTCTTAAAAAGTGCGAGAGAAATACGCCAAATAGACATTATCAGGGGTGATTGTGAGCCCAACTCAATAATCCTGAAAATTTGCAAAGTATAAATTCTAGTTCGAATATTTTTAAATAAAATATACTAGAATTTTTATACATAAATGTGAGCGACGGATTTCTTGTAACTTCTGGATCTTGGATTACCGGATCGCAGTAAGCAAATAATCCGGAAATCTGGATTTTTTCCGGAGCACAATCATCTCTGCATTATGGTTTTCAATTTTTCGACCACTTCACTGATTAAACTATTGGAATCATACTATGTTTCGGATTGTGGCTTCTCTCCAAATTTTGACTATCAAAAATCCGAATCGGTCGGGAAAACAAACTGTGTTTAATCCAAGAAAGCTGATTTTTGTGTCTTTTGTATTTTAATACCATCGATTGCTCAAAATAATTAGGTCTATCTCTCAAGCAACTAATACCATATCTTCAAACATGAAAATTCAATCATTAAATAAAAAGTTATTTAGATTGTTTCATTTTATTTTGTGAGACTGTTTGTACTTAATTATCTCTTTGACTAAATTCTTCGATTACTTGATTGTGAAAGTGTTTTTATGGTTTTATTTATTATGTTAGACGACTTACCAAATGTTAATTCTTCGAAAGAATTCAAGCTTTTGAAGAATAAATAAAGTTGAATAAATGTTAAATTATAATATGAATGTTAAAAACCTATTTTCAGTGTTATTTGACGTTCAATAAAATATTAAAAAATGTCTTGTTTGTAAGCATGTTTAGTTTTTTTCTTTTGTCTCTAACAAAATAATACACTACTTTTTTTATAAAACATTATTTAAAAATTAATTTGACAGATTTTAAATTAAAAATCAAAGATATAAAACCATCATAGGCAATTTAGCATTTGATTTCACTCTTTGACGTAGATGGGAAACCAGAATTTCTTTAATGAATTACTTACTCTCTGACGTTCTATTTACAAGCAAAAGTAATATTTTGACAGTTTTTAATTATAAAAACTGTCTAATAGTTAATTAAAAATACCAGTTAGATTATATGGATTACATTTGTGCTAAAATGCGAAAAAAATGTAGTTGGAAAAAAAAATTTCATTCATATTCAAAAATTTATTAACACGTTGAATGCCACGCTAATTTTACATGGCTTGCTCGTCAGGCCACACGGTAAATTACTACAAACTAAATTTGCAAATATAGACAGATTTTGCTACTTTATAAAAGGCTTAGCAAGACATATCTGAAAAAAGTGGTGAATTATATATGCCTACGAATTGTTTAAAAATATTGGTGGATAAAAATCTACTAAATTGAATTTATTAAACCAAGAATCACAATAATTTAGTAAATTTTGAATAAATTTTCTGCAATTCCATAAAAGAGTGCAAATTTTATAGTTCTATATTATGTTATACACTGTCAGCCAGCTGTTGTTCGCGGCCTTTGTGAAAGGTCAGTGTCAGCAAGCGGTGACAGATGCAGCCTAAATATAATTTCCGTGTCAGCCATCGGTGGTTGACGCAGCCTAAATGTAATTTCAGTGTCAGCCACCGGTGGTTGACCCGGCCTAAATGTACTTTCACTGTCAGCCACTGGTGGTTGAGGCGATCTAAATGTAATTTCAGTGTCAGCCACCGATGGCTGACGCGGTGCTCAACGTGTTAATAAATGATTTTGTAAATATAAAGAAATTTCAATAAAAATTTTTTTTTTATCGTAGACTTAAATAATTGCAAATAATTACGAATTTCAAAATTATAGTTCGGAAGTTTTTACCTTTAACGTAGAAAAAGACACCGGAGTTTCAAGCTGTATTTCATAACCATAAATTATTAAGGTGCCCGATATAATATTTTTAATAAAAATTGTGCATCAAAAGTTTAAATTAGTTTCTCGTTAAAATGTGCCTGAATTATAGTCCTTTTTTTTCAGAACAATAAAATTTAGCAATTTTGGTGCTTTTACAGAACATGTAGTTGAAATATATTGAGACATTGCGGTGCAGCTGCTTATAAATATTATTATTTTAACTAATATCCTTCATTTCTTTAGCCTGTCTCCTCTTTAATCTAGCATTAGAAAAGGTAATAAGAGATTCAAAAATCAATAACAGAGGAACTATATTTAATAAGTCAATACAATTGTTGGCTTTTGCTGACGATATAGGAATTATTGCTCGAACACCAAGAGCACTTGAAGAGGCCTTTATTTCTTTAGAGAAAGAGGCCCTGAAGATGGGTCTAAAAATAAATGAAAATAAAACTAAATATATGCCTTGTACTAAAACAGCCCACAGGAGTACCCATCTAAAAATTGGGGGACATTCATTCGAGGTAGTGGACAGCTTCACGTATTTAGGCTCTGAAATAAATAACAGGAACGATGTAACTGCAGAAATACGAAAGAGAATCACAGCAGCAAATAGGTGCCTTTATGGATTAAGAAAGTTTTTAAGATCAAATGTAATCAAGAGAAAAACAAAGCTGTTATTATTTAAAGGCCTCATTAGGTCAGTTTTAACATATGCTTGTGAAACATGGACATTGACTCGTGCAGATGAAGAAATGCTGAGCATATTTGAGAGAAAGATATTACGGTGCATTTTTGGAGGAATTAATAAAAACGGTCAGTGGTTAAGAAGATCAAATTTAGAACTCTATCGATCATATAATGAACCAGACATCATAAGATTCATTAAGGTCCAAAAGATAAAATGGGCAGGCCACTTAGTAAGAATGGAAGAAGACCGTATTGTGAAAAAGATTTTTGATGCCCGGCCGACAGGAACACGTAGAAGGGGCAGGCCAAATCTCAGATGGCTAGATACCCTGGAGAAAGATTTATCTATATTAAAAATAAAGAATTGGAAGTCCATTGCCAAAAGAAGGACAGCTTGGAAAAAACTACTGGAGAAGGCCAAGGCCCATCCTGGGCTGTCGAGCCAGTGAGGAAGGAAGGAATATCCTTCATTTGAAAGATTTAATTATTCATATAGTTTAAATGACAAGTAATATTTAACACAAATAAGTTAATTTATATTGAAATTAATACTATTTTAAATCTAAAAGATATTTTTTTAAAAATACTCTAATTTAAGCATCAAGTAATATCTAATAATTAAAAAAAACAATAAATAAAATAAAACTAATACTGTTTGCAAACAAAAAATTATCATTGAAAAAGATGGAGGAGGAAATGTCCCCTGCATGATTCTTCACTTTGTTAAGCAGGTTCCCTTATACTAGATCACTGTGTGTTATGGAAGTAAAGATTTAACTAGGATATAAAGCATGCTGAAATTTTCATTAGCGTTTTTCTTGGAATTGACTGTCGAGTAGCGTGCTTTGTCATTTTAAAAGGTGATTTCTCGTAAGGTAAGAAACCGATATACCAAGTTTCACCCCAAGTGAATTTTCCCAGCCGTGCATGCATTGAATTGAACAAAAAGAAAATTCCATATGAAATCATATATTTTTCACATCTACTTGTGATAAAAATAAAAACAAATTGCAGTGCGAAAATGTACATGGCAGAAATATAAAATATTTATAAAGCAAGGATGGACTGTAGGCAATATATTTATTTCAATTTTAGCAATAAGTTAACAATTTAAAATTTATGTGTACAATAACATAAAATACACAATAACATATAATACACAATATTTGTTATATATAACAAAGACTGAACTGTTTCTATGGGTGTAATTTTTATTTATTCATATATTTTCATTTTAATTATTATTTTATTTACTTGATTGTTTTATTATTTTTGATTCATATATCTTTTTTCTGACTAATTTTTAAAACGCATGGCTATTTAATTACTATAAATAAATAAATTATTGTAATAATTACGACAATTGATAAAAGGTTTAAAATAATTATGCCTTAAAGATACCCTAAATTATGTTATTGAGATTAGCTAAATCTTCAATTATTTTTATATAAGTAAATGATATTGCATAAAATATAATACGTAAAGCCTTTATCAAAGTTTTCGCAACTGTCACTGTCAAGCATTGTTAAATAATTTTAGGAAATAGGAATATTCTTTTTAAATGAAAACAGATTTAATAAGAATGAATTCCTAAAAAGAAGTTTTAGTTCCATGAATGTTTAGCCTCAATCAATTAACAAAATTTGAACATGAGCACTCAAAATGAATGTTATCCATGGTGTAATCTCAAATAGTCCAAAATGCAACAAATTGTGATTCAAAATACAACAAAATTCCTTGCCTTAAAAAACATTTTCCTTAAATGTATAGAAGTATGAGTTTACAAAAAAAAAATAATAATAATAATACTTAGAAAAACATATAAGGTATATTTTACAAACTTTTTTAGTCAGGTGAACAGTTACATTCAGCAGAGGAAAAAAAATCTGTAGCAGAAAGTGCTGCAAGGTACAACACTAATGTTCGCATTAAAAGACAGTATATAACTTAAACTTCGATTTTTAAAAACTACAAATTAGTCTTTTGTACTACAATCAATTCCTTAGAAAATTAAATACAAAACATGAATTCTGTTAAATAGATGATGTTCTAGTAAAAGAATAAATTCCTGAAACCACAAACTGGTCATGTCTCCAAAACAAAGAAATATTTCATTCCATCGCCTTATGAATAACTTTTTGCTTGATTTCCATCAGCATATTTCTTTAACTGAAATAAATATAAATACATTACAATAGTCATAACAAATAACAAGATGAGTAAAACTCTTATTAAATGTAGTAAGAAAATCTAACAAAATTTCTTGGGATACTAAAATATTTTTAAAGACTGTTATTTTACTGTCAATGGTAAAAAAAAAAGGTAGATAACTTTAATATAAAATAAGCATTTTAAAACAACTGTTACAGCTTTATCATTAAAAAAATGATGCAAATATTTCAGGATATTTAATAAAAAACCTTTTATTCCAGCTGAAAACAAGATATACATAGATAATAGATCTGTTTAAAACTGCAATCAGTTTTATTTTTTCAGAATTAATAACCACATATATTGCGAGGAAAAAGGTATTTACTTATATGACATAAAGAATGGAAAATAAGCATAGAAATCTTTTTAAAAACCTTGCATTAATAAAAATCAATGACACACCTTTTGTAATATCTTTTTAAAATCAACTGAGATCATTTTAATTTGGACATATGATTCTCAATGAAAAGTTTCTTTTAGTTAAATTCAGCAAGAAAACTTTCTTAGAAATTTGTTGTTAAGGGAAAATGTAAAAGACTTAAATAATACATATACAGTGAAGCCTCCTGTTATGGACACTCCCGCAAAACGGACGCCTCTCAATATGGACATACTTCTAAGTCCCCAGGAATCTTCTATGAATAAACCATTATGTACATTCTCCGCAAAGCGGACACTCCCGTAACCGGACAAGGACAGTCCTTTTGGCCCTGAAACGCTATTTTCTATCTCTTCAAATCGGAGACTACCTTTTCTAAATTTTAAAAAAAAAAAAAAAAAAATGCAACTTTTCACCATTTTTGAAGCATGTAAATTTTTTACCTTTTCCATAACTAAAAATATTGTTACGCTATTTCCCTATGGAAGAATCAATCTTTCTCCTGTCACCTTGCCTTATCTTTGTAAAGAAAGGAGAGAAAATAATACTGCTCTCCAGAAATAATTTGGACAGCAGCATCTTTTGATTGTTGCATCTGAACCACACAGGTTATGAGATCCCTCAAGTTGAAATGACATCTTAAATGCTTTCAATGCTTCTTCCTCATTGAACATTTCTTTAATTTTCTTATCAATTTAAAGACTGTATTTAACACAGCTGGGGTAGAAAAGAGAACAGAAGCATAATCTTTGCCGTGTTCATATAAATGAAACATTTATTCAGACACTTGATAGATGATCAATTGTGAATAATCAACTCAATAAGTCCTCATAATTTACAGGTATGCATTGCTTATTTTTCTGTAAATCGTGGGAGGTTTACTTTCAAGAAGGTATTAACCACATTCCCTATCAAATGATAGGTAGGTGTAAGGGGATGTAAACCTAACAATTGAAACCGACTGAGGACTGAAAGCTCCTATTCAGTATCATATGTCTAACTTGAGTGTCTATGCTAATAGGAAAATTATATTAATTTATCTGTAGCTACATCTAGAATTATGTATTTTTATCAAACTTCTGCATATATTCCTTTTTATCTCTTTCAAAGCTTGAATAAATATCCTTGTTGATAGTTATTCTAGATTATATAATTATTTCTATATCTTTGAAAATATTCTAAAAACAGTTTACGGTGTTAAACTTCGTTATTAGGGTACCCTTCCCGTAAACAGACAATTTTTTTGATCCCAAGAATGTCCGCTTAACGGAAGTTTTACCATACATAAAATAAAATTCGAGTAACTTACTTTATGCTCCTCTTTCTCCAGAGAATTTGAAATGCTTGGTGGTGGAGCATTGGGAGGAGGAAATATTGATGGTAAACGTGGAACTGAACTGATGTTACTTCTTTTTATTGGCTTTGGAAAGATATCACAGAGTGCAGGAAAATGAGTTATTTCTCCTAGTAAAGCTAAAAGAATGATTTCAAATCACTAATGAAAAAAAATAATTTAAGGTTAAAAAAAACATATTAACCACAGCATCATGAACTCAAAGTGGAGGGATGAAAGTTGAGAGATCATCAGTTGAGAGAGGCATCAAAAATTTAAAATATCAAAAACCATAATATTTTAAAATGTCAGTATAAAAACAATAAGAGCTGAAATGCCAACATGAATGTAACATGTATTTACTTAAAAAAGTAGTAACTTTTAACGATGATACTATTTTTTCTTCTTCATTTGCATTTAGATCTCTGTTTTATTTTTCAATTCTGCCATCTTCCTTTTTGATGCATTGCCTCATGCTGTGACCTCATATAATATTCTTGATTCATCCCAATCAATACTTCTTGCAAATTTTTTATCTACAGTATGCAATTCTTCATTGAGTATATCTTTCTTTAAAATTCATTAAAATAGAAAGTTTTGGACTATCATATGGACAGCCCAAGCAGGCTGCAATCATATCTTATATGTTTTTAGAAATTGACAGTTTAGGCAACTTGGAAATCTCACAAACATGGAAATCTCGCTTTAAGAAATGGTTCAGAAAATTATTTTTAAAAAAAAGTCTAAGAAATAAAGTTCAAGAAAATCATTTAAATTCTTTAAAAATTGAGTGGAGACATCTTTGGCGATCAAACATTTTTTCGTAAATCTAAGGATACCAAGAAATGTATTCAGCTCAGCTATTAGAGCTTTTTTCTATTACCAGAATTACAAATGCTTAAGGAATTTAGGATTTTTTGTGATATTGAAAATTTTGTGCTATCCAAGGATATAATAGCAATGTTTTAGGGTAGATAAATCACCAAAAAAATTTTACATATATTTCAGAACTCGTAATTTAAACTTTAATGACCCCATGCCATATTTATTGAAGTTAACAATAAAAAATTTCTAATGCAATTATAACTAATGGTAACCAGTTATTTATCAAAAGAAGATGTTAAATATTTTCTGAAAAATTGCATATGATTTCAACGAGAATGTAAAAGAGTTATAAATAATCAGTAGTTAAAAATATTTGCTTTAACTTTAAATAAACTATTACCTATTTTAGAATCAATTACAGATTTGAATAACTGAAACGCATTTTCAAATCAACATACAGCTTTAGGAATTTCTTAACAGATCTTTGTATTGTACAATCGTCTAGCATGTGTTAAGTGCTCAAGTTTTGCTTAGATAAAAAATAAAACTTTTGCTGCATCCTTCTTAACAATAGCAAAAATTGTAGGTAGGATTATGCTTTTTAGACAAAAACCTAGTAATTGAACTAAATAGTGCAAAATAAAATATCCCTTAACTCAACTTTCCTGTGTTGTACATTAAAACTAAGATGTGAAACAATAGTTATATATTAAAAATCAAAAGACATTTAACATGTTTTAGAATAACATATGGCTGACTAAAAAGCAAAAAAGAAAATCCAAATAGGCAAGAAACAATATGCTAAGAAAAAACATACAAGAAATATGAATCAACTAGTCAATGTACAGTAAAATTTTCACATCTACAGCTTAAAAAATTTTTTACAAATTTGTTAACATTTTTAAAAGTTATGGGAGGTTAAATTAATCTTAAGGAAAAAAATTACTTTATTACAACTTTCTTTAAATCCATTAAACATTTAAGACTGCACACTCTTTTTGGTAATATTACAACCCCCAAATTTAGAAAAATACAATTGAGTGCTCCTTTTTGATATTGCAACACTTATATTGTTAATTCAAGGGGTCTTATCCCTTTAGGGGCAGTTACTACTTTAGATTTCCACACGCACACATCACCCAGCCATGGTTATTTTTAGAGCTTAATCTTTTAACAGCTATGGTAGAAATGCTATGGAATTTTAACCTTGATCAGATGACATGTAAAGCACCTGATTTGGTACCCTTCTCTGCAAGCATCCACACTTTAATCAATGAGAGGACTTTCAACCACGACAGATTTAAAGTGCATCTTGTTATGTATACAACTGTTGTTTTGTCATTTGTTGTTTTCAGGAAAGTTCCCTAGCTCTCCACCAGAGGTTTGAGCGATGTCTTGATTGACTATGCACTCAAAGAGCTCATAAACTTGCATGATCCTAAAATCCATACTGTTTAGAATAATATTGTCATAACATACAAAATTTTAATCAAATCAACCAGATATTTTTTATCTGTACTTTTTCTGATCTAGAATAAAGAAAAATTGACTATTTCATATCTTTGCCAAAATAGATCATTACTATTTGACAACTGAATTGGAATGCATTATAGATAGAATACATTTTGTGAAAAAGTATCTGAACGATTAAAGCATTTTCCTAATAGTTCATACAACTGAACAATCTTTGTAAACATACATAGTATAGCTCATATAATTGAAGTAACCGAACTATTATTCATTTTATATAACTAAACTACTATTTCTTTTAGTTGTAAACAGAAATACTCCAAGGTATTTATTAATGAAAAAATGCTTTGGGTAAGTTTAAAAGGGAAAATATCTTAAAATATATTTCTTATAAATGCAAAAAAGAGAAACATTTAACCAATGATAAAATATTCATAGTTGTACAATATTAATGCGTATATGTTGTAACTGCAACCATATAAGTACCTAGTTAGAACAAATATTTTAATCCTAATTCTTAGTGTATTAAATAATTAACATCACTTTGCTCTCACTTTTTTTCTTTGGCACATAGCTATTTTTCTCCATTTCAGTTGAAGAAGGATTCTTTATTGGAGGTAAGACATCTTTGCAAACATACATAGAGGGAAGCATGATTTTGTCAACTTGGTTAAAGTAATTAGTATAATAGCATGGAGGAATATTTTTGTAGAATTCCAAAGGTTGTAAATTGGCTTGTTTGTTTAAAATGTTACATTGAGGAGGAGTAAGACGTTGACGACTCTGCTGAAATTTTTGTCTCCTAAAACATTAAAAGATAAAAAATGCACCATGTAACACAAAGAGTAATATATAATTAAATCATAAGATTTACAAAATTGTTTAATTGAATTCTAGATTAATTGAATCTAACGTTCCATATGTGCTAATATTTTCTGAACGATTTGTTTCAGAACAGAGAAAGGCTACAAAGAGTGCATTTACTACTGAATAGTGAACAGTATTTTAGTTATATGAAAGCTTTGAGTTATAAAACAAACCTTTAACTACAAATATAGAATTTTACATAATATAATAGAGAAAAGATATAATATTCAGCAGTTCATAGTAAAAAATAAAATTCTCATAAAATTAATGCAAAGTTGAATGCATTGAAAGCTAATGGATTGAAAATACTTGAAGAACCATCTATGCTTAAATCATAAATAATTATTGAATATTTAGAAATGAAATAAAATGCAAATAAAAAGCATATTTCACATGTTGATTGTCGTCATACTTGAAATTTAGTTAGTTTTAAACTGTTTGAACTTTTAGTTTTAAACTGTTCTTTCCAAGCAGAGATTATCCATTGAATGATATCAATAAACAACAGCTTGCTAAGTGGAAAAGAAACCAGCCTGTATCTGAAAATGAGTTTGTGGAATATCTATTTACTTTTCAGCATAGGAAGCCATTTTTTCTAATATGATTTAAAGTTAAAATACGGAAGAAAATTTTGGTAAAAATTTAGCAGTATACGTAGGGAAATTTCTGCACAACTAGACCAAGTAATTTGACAATTAACCAAATACTTTAGAACAACTATACATTAAAAATATTTCATAAAAAATTGATAGAATGAAAGGTTTCTTTTCATATCTTTAAGAAATTTTATATTTCCTAATTTCAATATACAGTTATTGTTAGTAATAGTAAAGAGTCAGCAATATATTAGCAAGAAGTTGAATTACTCACATCCAGTAACACAAAATTAAAAAAAAAGTACTTGGACTTTATTAAAGCAAAAAACCAAATTAATCATTAAATATAAGTGTGGGGATAATATTAAATGACCATGTCAACCATCATCTATGAAAAGGTACCGCAACAAATCAACTGTTCAATGTGGACCATCCATCGAAGTAGGCATATTCAAATTGAAATGGGCGTTACTTTCAAGATCGGCATGCTCATTTCGAAGTGAGAGTTTCTGTCAAGGTAGGCATGTTCACATCACGTTCGAATGTCACCAATGTGGGAAGAGTTGTTTTCGATAATGTCAACCTTCATCTATGAAAAGGTACACTAACATAGAATTGAGTTAACACGTCATATACTAGTGAATTGGAATTGTATTTTTGTACTGGCAGATACACTACATAAGCATTTTAAATACCACCCATCATTGCTTAAAACACTTTGAACTTCATGTTACAATAAAAGAATTTTAGTGCATATATGTAGAATGCTTTCGTAAGCCACACTTCAAAAATGTTCTCTCTGTCCACCTCTTTTGTTCAAAAACACTGCTTACCTTCAAATATTTTTATGATAGTATAAAATATAAAATACAAAACTTTTTATGTTTTTTTAGAAAATTAAATGCTTTATAGTAAATACATGAAGATATAAATTAGTTGATCGTACCGATCAGCAGCAGATATGGATGAGTCAAAAACAAGTTGGGCATTTTTTTCATTCTTATTGAACTGTGATGTTTTAAGAACAGGAATCTAAAAATGAAAAAATTTTGAATGAAGTAAGCACAATCATATTTCCTTTTTAAATCCATTGAGAAGCAAAATTAAATAAAAAATTCTTAAGTTTTGCATAATAATTGACAGTAAAAAAGAATTGGAATTTTTTGAACTATTTAATTCATTCAAGTATTTTGTTTTGAGTCTATTTTTTTGGACAAGAACTAATTTCTGATTTTTGGTAAAATTTCACTACAGGTAAGATCAAGAAGCCTGAGACATTTTTTTACTAGCAAAGTCCCAATTTCCTTGTAATTTTGACTATTTTTTTTTTAACATTTTAATTTTAAGGGACTTTGTGTCACATCATAAAGAATATAAATTTTGATTAAAATATTTTTGTATTATCTTATTTACCATAAAATGTTAAAGATGAGTGAAATTTTACATTACATACATCAAAACAGAATGCTTTTAAAGCAGAAAATTGAATTTTTATCAATAAAATAAATAAAAAGTTTAATTCAATTCAGATCTGCTACAGAATTTTTTAAATTATATTATACAGGGGTAGCAGCAAAGTTTTTTAAAATTTTAGGGTAATTTTAGGAACTTTTTTCAAAAAATTTTAGGTGAATTTTAAGGGTAATATATGATTTTGCTAGGATAAAAACAGATCACACGGTAGTTTATTACATAACAGAAGATTATTACAATTCATCCACACATATCATAAATAATTGCAAGCCATAAAATAAAGCTCTGAAATTTATTAAGTCAAGAATGGAATCTCTTAAGTGTAAAAATTAAATTTCAACTTTACATATTACCTATCAGAAATTAAGTGCATAATTCAGGAACAGGCAAAAGAGAGAATAAATCAAGAGAAAAAAATAAATTAACACCAACTTGGATTTTTATTTAATTTTTACCTTCTTAATCAAAACTTTATTATTACCCTTTACCTTACTTTATTAAGAAAAACTATTGTGTGATATTATTAGATTTAAAATTAGCAATTTATATAAGAAGTTAGAGAAAAACAAATTAATCATGATCATTTTTCTAATATATTCTTGATATGATTTGTGAGATTCTTTTACTGCCCTCAATAGTGTTGTGGTGATCTTCAACACTCCTCCATAATTTTGAATGGTATCTTTGATTAGTCTAAGAGACATAATAGTATTCTTATGGTGACTCACATTAAGCATTGCTTTATTTATTGAAAAACCTCTCTCAGGATCAGAATTCCCATGTGGCAAAATTAAAACAGTTTTAATTAATGTAGTTAAATTCTTATATTTTAGATTATTGCTTTTATATTTATATTTAGCCTTTAACTCTAATTTTTTAGGAACACCAACAAAATTTTATTAGATTTTTAGGGTTTGCACATAGTTTTGGGAATTTTATGAATTTCAGGGGGAATGCGACCCCTGTATTATACATTTTTTAAAAATATCAAACAAAAAAGCAATTTAGCAGATCCATATTTTCTTTATTTACATTTAAGTAGAAATATTTTTCAAGTTCATTTTCTTCATGTACATAAATAAAATAAATCTATATAAAAACAGAAATTTTAATGTATCATGTTTTGACATTCATGTTATAAAAGTAAAGTAAATTAATTTGTGTAAAGTTTATTCAAAGTAAAATTAATTTGTAGGTTGGCTATAAATTATAGGAAGCTTAGAATAATTAAGTTGATCAGGCAAATTTTCAAATATATTAAATCGTTATAAAGTTTACAGCTATTCATTTCCCTCATGCACTGAAAATTTAGATTTTTTCTGCAACCCTAGCAAAATCTCTATGGAACCCAATTTAAGCATCCTTGCACTAGAGAATGTCCCCACTTGCCAGATTTCACAATAACTCTACCAATTATATTGAATATGATTCCTAAAGCATTAGCAAAACTATCAAGAATAGATACCAAGTTTCATAGATCTGTTTTTAAATTGCTTAATTTTTTACAAGTTCTTACATAAGTGATAGACTGTTCTAGTTCAGGTGGAAATTACCATAGCAGTTGTGTACAATTCTACAAAATATTTTTTGATCAAAATAAATATTTTTCTTAAAAAATAGAAAAAGTGTAAAAGTATCAAACTTTTCTTAAGAAATAAAAATTGAAGGTAACAAAGATAATAAGTTTTAAAAGTCACTTACTTTGCTTGAAAATTTCTTGCTTTTATTATTTGGTGAAGAAAGATTATTGATAGATTTTAGTCTGTAATAATAATAAAATCAATGCAGTTTATTATAATATATGAAAAATGCACACATAAAAAAACACATAATATATTTCAAGCATTTAATTATTTATACATATACACTGATTAATAGGATACAGCTGGTACACACATACTGGTTTTTAAAATGGAAATATTTAAAAATTTATTAAAAATTCTATAATCTGAGAAATTTAAACCTCAAAACTTAACTATTGGAAATATATGAGAAGAATATATTGGAAATAAAATACTTTTGCTATGCATATGAAGAATACAGAATCATAATAATTTATTACTATTTGGTTTGAATATGTTCCCATTTAACAGCCAATTTAATAATATTTATATTAAGAGATAGTAGCAACAAGTTAACTAAGAGACAAAATTTTTCTAAGGAGTTATAACAATATAAAAAGGGTAAAAGGTAAATTATTATGCATTTCTTGTAACCTTAATATATAGCTACAAAAATATAAATAATATATATTTATTGCCCTATGTATTTAGATTGAAAATTTACTTTGACTAACTGAATGACAGAAGTGACATCTTACACATTCAAATTAAGCTGCCAGTCATAATATTTATAATATAATAAATTTATTGCTTTTCAAATGTATACTTGGAAAGCTGAAATATTTTTCTTAAAAAGGAAAAAAAATTGAGTAAAGATAAGCAACACAAATGTTACATTTTCTGGAGAATATGTTACATTATTTTTGATTACAAAAAAACATAAAATTATCTCATATAGAAATAGGGGGAAAAAATCACTCATATAGAAGTAGAAAAGAAAAAAATGTGTTTAAAACCTACCACAGCTATATCCAATGTTTTACTTATAGGAAAGTAATGTATCAGTGAAGATTCAGAATACAACGTAATAATTTTAATTATTATTTCATTTATTTATAGTATAATATCAATTATAATATAAGTTGAACACTAAAAAGTTTAGACAAAAATAAAAAGTGAATAAAAAATTTTGCTATTGATTATAAACCAATAGCTTTTAACTCATTTGACTTTAAAGTTATTAATAAAATTATTTTTGCATAACTCACTTGTGTGGAAATTTTCTCTCAACAGTTTGAAAGCATTCATTTTTAGATGTATCCTAGAGAAAGAAACACAAAAAGTATAAGCATAAACAAACAACATTCTACTCCCTCCTCCAGAAAAAAATTGCATTTGTCGCATCATTTAATACTACACAAATGTAAATGACAAAAAAAATTAAAGGCTTAATTGGTTGCAGTAGGATATAATCAAATTAAAAATGTAGATTATTCAGAATTATATTCCCCTGTTGTAAACATAGAATTATTTAGGTTATCAATATCATTATCTGCAAAATTTGATTTATGTGTGTCCAAGTTTTTGATATTAGAACTTATTTCTATGGAGATATTGAAGAAACTCTATAAATGGAAATTCCACCTGGATATGAAGAAAAGTATGGTTAGAACAAAGTTAGTAAATTAAATTGTAGCATATATGGTCTACCTTAGTCTGGTAGAAATTGGCATATCAAATTAAAAAATGAACTATAAAAGATTAACTTCAGATTAACTTCAACCAACTTCAGATTAACTTCAGATCTTAAAAAGATTAACTTCAACCAACTTGTATCTAATAATTGTGTATTGACTAAAACTGACAAAATTGATTTTTTTGCTATTTGTATGTGTGTTGATCACTTAGCAATATATTCTAATAATTCTAAATTATGTGAGGATATATTCTTTAAACTTAAGCAACCATTTGATTTAAATGAAAATAATGAAAATTCTAAATTTTCTAGGTAAGTTTTAAATCATAAAAGCGGAATTATTTATCCCCAACTCAGTATATTGAATCATTAATAAACAAATATGACCTAGAAAAATGTAAGAAAACCAATCTTCCTACATATAAGGTGAGGATAGATGTTTTAATCCCAGATGATTTAGTCAGTCAAACAGATTATCAGGAAATTATAGGTGAACTTTTATATTTAACTAACAGTTCAAATATTTCATTCATAACTAGTTATTTATCACAATTTAATAAACGTCCTGAAAAAAGGCATTACATTTTGGCTAAACGGTTCAAAAGGGAAAATTTTGTTTTATGATAAATACTTTTAAACTGTAGAGCAAATGCAAGCTGGAGAAAAGGTTAAGGAAGTAAATCCTTTTCAGGGTGTGTAGTTAGATGTTTCTCTGATCTTGTGGAAAAGCAGAAAACAAAGAATTATTAGACTCTCAACATGTGAAGCAGCACTATTTGCTATTGTTGAAACAGCAAGAGAATTAATATAGATTATAAATATGTTAAGTGAAATTAATGGTAAAAATTTCATTAAAGTTTCAACTGAAGCTTATTTTGATAGTCAAGCATCCATTGATTGGTTAAATAATGGTAAATCAAATAAAACTAGATATGCAAATTTAAAATGTTATTTTGTTAGAGATATGATTAATGATAAAATTTTAAAGACAGTTTATCATAATACTAATGACAATATTTCTGATTTCTTAACAAAAGCTGTTAGTGGATAAGTTAAAATTTTCTTTGGAAAAAAAAAGTTTATTTAAAAATTTATATTGATGGATATGTTATTGTTACAGTTATTATGTTTCAAAAAGTAAAACCCTTTTTGCAGTAGGGGAGTGTATTATTAAATGATGCTACAAAGATTTTTCTTTTTAATGACACTAGGTGGCAGTCTGTGTTTCTTTGATTTTCTGTATCTTGTTAATAAACGTTACTTCATCCTTTGTTGTTTAATTGTGTTGCTCTAGAGCGACAAAAATAAAGTACTTACCTATTTTGTTATCTGGGAGTAAGCTATATTACAGGTTTAAAATGCAATATTATGAACATAATTATTCCTTAATTCTAACTTTGTAAGTAACTTCACAAGTATAATAAAAAAATAACTAAATAAAAACTACATTTAAACTGATACACTTACATTTATAGTTTCAATAATATCCAATTTTTTTTCTCCCTTAAAGTTTTAAAATACTAAGAAGTTTAACCCGAATTCAACCAAGGCTGGCAAGGCTTTGAATACTATAAGCATAATACTGTAAATATACTTTGAATACTATAAGTAAGAGCAAGAGTTTAATTGTTCATTTATTCAATTTTTTTCTTTTACTAAGAAATTTTTAAAAAATCAACCAAGACAGACAAGTTTTGAATATAATATTAAGTGCAACAGTTTCTTCAAACTAAATTATCCAATGACTAATAAACTTAAATAACTTTTTCAAACTGTCTTTACCTTTTCATATTGAAAATTTTATTATAAATAAATATACTAAAGAAAGTGACTACCAGAAAAAAAAACTTATTCCATAAAAAAAGAACATATTCCTAGAAATAAAAAGCACTTGTTTGTAATCATTTTCACACAATAATTTCCCATGTATTACAGTTTATTTCTTAAACATATAATAATATCTATAATATAAATAATCTATAATATTATAATTAATTATATCTATATATAAATTATTATTATATTATATTAATAATCTTTATTAACTTTATTACTTGCACAACTCGTTTCACTGCATATATTTTATTTCTAGATTTCTTCCAAGTCGAGATAAATAAGAACTTTGCAAATTATTTCCTTTAAAGAGTGGTAAAAGATAGAAAACAAAAACTCTTCAAAAGAAATCCAATCAATCTTTTATTTAATTAAAATAAAAGTGAAAATATCACATAAAAAGTTTTTATGGCAAATAATTTTTAAATAAAAAAACAGGTTTTCAATTTTCTGAAAAAAATATAGCTCAATTTATCATTAATTATACATGCCATTCAGAAAACCATTCAAGAATGGAAAAACATGCAGACAAAGAAAATCATATTTCTATAATGTCTTTTAATAAGATCATGCACGTAAATACTAGTCAAGTAAATCAATATTAGTCATTCTTCTGAAGGGAAGAAACTGCCAACATTTTATGTCAAGTGTTTTCCAATAAAAATGTTAGTTCTAGTATGTTTTTTTAATAAGCTCTGACATGCCAGTTATCTCTAACATACTCATCACAAATAGTCATTCTTAACAATAGCCGAAGTTTATCAACAATTTATTTATTACTGTGTTTTTGGTTAAAAATTTAAGCTTTTTATTTATTTGTAGCATGCCAGTCATCTCAAACACATTCTCCAACATTAACCCATTTTCAATAACTGGAAAAACTTACCAACATTTCATTTGCTTTTTCCTCTATTCTATGATCATTCATTTTTTTATTACTCAAACAATATTTATTATGTAAAACTGGTTTGTTCAAATAAGGCCTCTCCATACTTTCACAAGTAATTGATAAGTTAAGAGTCACTATTATGAAAGCAAATGCAGTTATGAGTCACTTTTATTGTAATTTATAAAAAATGATGATCTCACAAAAGGAAAACTAGTAAATATGCAAATTAAATGTAAATTTAATTTATAAATACTTACTTAGTTGTTTTAGAATAGTAGACTTTAAACACTTCATGCATTTTTCTCTGCAAACTCATACTGTTTTCAATGTAACTCTGAAAATACAAAAGCTAGTATATAAGTCTGGTAGTTATATAATCTAGTAGCACTTCATGCCCCTTTCCGTACTGCAGCTCTGAGGCTGAATTTCTGAGGCCGGGCAAGTTTCAGCCTTTCCTTACATCAGTGGGACAATAAAATTAATACCAAACATGCTTGGGGCAAAACACTGGGGGTTCCAGGTTTGGCTAACCATCTAATCGGAGCATCTACTCTGGTAGCCCACAACCTAAGGTCAAGAAAATTGGGATAGCAACAGTAAGCCCTGCTCTTGATGGGCTGTTGCGACACTAAATTTAGTTTAAGTCTGAACCTTTCACTATCAAATAATTTTTTCAGTAATACTTAAATAAAAAGTCAGAGGTAAATAAGATTTATTGTTAAGATTATTAAAATCAAAATAAGATTTATTGTTAAGACGATCATCATTAAGATATAGGCCCAAAGTGAAACAGCAGCTTTTCTTTATAATAGTTTGAATTTTTTTAGTTGATAGTTCTTAAATTTTAGTTCCCAACATATAGCAAAAAAGTTTTTAAAAAAATATATAAAAAGGATCTAATTTTTGATTGCAATTTGACAGATCTATTAGACTATATTTTCTACATTGTAGCTACACTTGATGTATTAGTGGACCAAAATCTGAATCTGTCTAAAAATTAAAATATTTGTTTATTCAAAAAAAAGTGCATATTTTGCTTATTCTTGTAAATCCATGCCTAAAAATCCATGGCAGTGACATAAAAATGAAAATTGGAAACTCAATGCAAAAATTGAGAACACAGGTTACCTGAGACTGACCAGCAGAGAATATTAGTATACATGATGAAATTGATGATAATGGAAAGAGGTTGAATTTTGCATCTGTATCCAACCGAACCTTATGGTTGGAAGACCCAGGTACCATGTTTTAAAATAAAGACATATAAAACAACTTGGAAATCACCAGACAGAAATACCACAAATCAAATTGACCAAGTTACTGGTAGATCTTAGACACAAGAACAACTTGATGGCTTAGTTACAGATGAGCAAATGCAGACTCGGCCCACTAGGTGCTTAGATATAGACTATATAAATAAGATAATAAAAAAATATGATGCATTTAAATCAACAAATTTGCAAGAATTGAGTAAACCAATGTAAATAATGGATAATAAATTTAAATTAAGAGAGAGAATGCATGCAATAATACTGAAGAGAGGAGAACAGATTGAACTCACTGAAATAGATAATTGTGGAAAGACTAAAAAAGCTCTTTTATGTATCAAAAAAGGATAAGGATTAGTTTGACGCTTAATATTTGGAAGGCAATCTCAATAAAAATAAAGCTCAGCAACAATTCAAAACCATCACACAAAAAATGCTGAAGAATTATACAAAGAACTAAGAAAAGAATTACTCAGGAGAGAAAATGAGAAGTACAAGAAGAATAATTTAGAGATCTGAAAATTTTGAAGTCTCAAAAAGAAACTATAAAATATTATTAATTATTAAATTACATAAAATATGAAGATTGATGTTGTAAGATCTTTAGATTCATAGTTTTTCTTCTAAAATACAGTATGAAACTCCAGAAACACACAGTGGGGAGGTAAAAGCTTTTATGCCAGTAAAAAACTTAAAAATCTCACTTTTTGGGAGTAAAAATATGTATCAAGAGGCACCAAAGAAATACACCAAAACAATAAAAAGCCTCAATAGTTTCAGTTAAGCTAAACAAAATAGATATAAAAAGAGTCAAACAATTAAAGTTTAAAATGTCAATTGGAAGAAATTAATAAAACTGAGTTCACCAAGTACTATTATAAATTTGTTGATTGAAGCTTAAAACATTCTACTTAAAATAAATTTTAAAACTATGAAAATCAATAAAAATATAAGTGATCACTTTTAATATGCTAGGTAAGTTTTTAGATATAGATAAATGATTTATTTTCAAAAAACAACCATTTAGTTTAAGTCAATAATTTTAAAAAAAATTGAAATTAAATGAATTTAAATCAAACCTTGATTTGAATGCATACACTTTTTTTTACGAATTTATACTAAGTATTTCATATATACAGCTCTAAACTAATACATATATTTTAGAATCCTTGTCAAAAACTAAGTATTTAGATCATAAAGAGATAGATATATTTCAATGATAAAAATTTATAATTCTATCAAACTATGACTAACCATTACAGAAAACAAGTGGTGTAATTGTTTGAAATGATCAAAACCCTATATGGGGAATAAAAAAGCTGTTAACATTTTAGCTTTCAAAATTATTCTTTAAATCATTTAATATTTCATTACCTCTGTTTCATTCGAAATAAAAGAAAAAACTTCAACAGAAACAGGGGTGCCTTGCCCATTCCCTCTCTAAAAGCTAAAGGGGAAACGCCCTCCACATTTCGACAAACAACAAAAACTATGCATAAGTATTTTATTTAAACAACAATTTCTTAGTTATATCTGATATATCTGAATTATAATTGATTCATTGTTAGAAATATTTTATAAAAACTTATCTTCAGAATAAATACGGGGAAAAACGGTCTCTTTAAGATCGCAATGCAAAACAGACACACAAAACAGTGATGTGTTCTCTTTAAAAAGTAAATCAATTAAAAAACTCATTCCATTCAGGCCTAGCTTTGATGTTACAAAACATTTACTCAAATGTAACTAGTTCCTTTTTTAAAAAAATAATTTATATGCAAGCATTAATTTAATGTGTGATTACAAGAAATTTTAAAACGTTATATTTTTTTATTATGTACCTCTTACAATCAAAGTTGGCAAGTTTCTGCCGAGGTGGTTAAAACCACTGGTAGAAACCGGTTAAAACTTGCATGGCAGAAACTCAGAAAATGACATAAAAATAATTACTGAGGTTGACATACAATGGATAATTCATTGAAAAAACAATTAAACGTTAAACAAAGTACAATTTATTTACAAAATTATCACCATTCAAATTCAAATATTACATTGTTTGCACTCGGCAGTTATCTATAACAAAAGACAAGTTTTGATGCAGTTTCTAAACCTGAACAATTTCTCAATTTGCAATGCACGAAATGAGAAATTTGAGAAGATTCTCTAAAATCCAGCAGAACTAGCAGGCATTGCCATGCACAAAAGATTAAAACTGTTACTGTTATAATAATTGGATTGTTGCCATGCAAATTATGTCTTGAAAAGAAAAAAACTATTTGAAAATAGCTCTATTCAGTAATGTTAAGAGTTAAATGATAATAATTACTGAATTTCAGAGTTTAATATAATAAACCAAAATCTATACCGGTTATAACCAGTTTCTGCCACTGACATGGCAAAAATCAGTTTCTGTCGGCAAAAAGCCAACCCTGCTTAAAATAGTATATTATCCTACATTATGAATCAATTAGCAGCACTCTCTCAGGCTGTTAATCTTATGAGATGAAAATATTTACAAAAAGGATAATTTCATTATAATATACAATTGAAAAAAAAAAACACTTACCTAAAAAACATTATTTTTATCAAATTATACCATAAGTGCAATTATTGGTATTAATAAATTTCTTAAGTTCATAAGAGCATGAAATGTTCACATTAATCCTTGTAGATAAATTTACTTCAAAATATTCATTATATAAAATATATATTAATTAAATAAATATATATATAAATTGATAAAATGAAAAGAATTAAATATATATATCAGGGTGCATAGCCAAAATTTTCAACAAAAAATAATCACTTTTCAAGCACTGGAAAATATTTTTAAGCACCTTCAAAAAATATATCCTATAATTAGGCAGGGTTGGCAAGTTTTGGACAATTGATCCGGATTTAACCGTCATGTTAAAAAAAAACTTTAATTTTGTTAGTTTTCCAGGCATAGTTTTTGACAATTGTCAAAAATCATGAAATTTTGAATCATAAAACGAATGGCGTTTTCATACGATAAAGGACAGATGGTACACCGAAATGGATTGGGGTTGAATTAATTGTGAAAACATTGAATATAACAATATGAAAAGTGTCTTTTTGCATAATACGTGAAAATCAACAGGGTAAAGGGAAAATTAAGCACTTTTTAAAAACATCCAATGAAAGGAGCACCTTTAATGCTACGCACCCTGTATATATATAATTTGTAATATATTTTAATTTATATCAATAATTAAGGCAATAAACATCAAATTTTTTGTCATGAGTTTTTTTAATGCTTTGTAGTCCATTCCTTTTTTTCTGGGCTGTTTTTCTTATGCATTTTCTTTGTTTACCTTTGAGAATACCACTTCTGAAGTATAATGGAAACAGTCATTTATACGTTTAACTTAGCTAAGTGGCTTGTCCACAAAACATTTTATAACAATTGTTAACAGTTAATAAAATACCAAAATTATCAGGAAACAAAATTTGTTACATAAGTGAAGAGGTTCCTTAAAACTTTTAAACATCTCTTTATTTTGCTCCTAACTTTTCCTCTTCATTTATGGGCGAGAACATCATTTTTTCCTGCCCTATTAAGATTGTTTAAGTCATTCATTTTGTCATTACTTTCCAATTCTTTTTCAAGTGATACCAACGAATTTAATTCTACCAAAATTAGAGTTTAGCTCATAAAATATGAAAAATACTTCAATTCCATTTTTGAAAAGAGACTGGTTAACACTGCAGTTATAAGAAATAAGGATTTGTTGCATAAAAGCTAAGATTTCTTTGAGAACTCCTAAATCATTTTCAGATCTAATAAAGATTCACAAAAATTATCAAAATAATAAACACAGCAAAAAAGATTTTAAAAAATATCTTCTAAATTAAAACTAAAATTTTAGTTCAATCAATCCATTGTTTATAAATGTGCTTATCTTTTAATGGAAATTTTAAGTTGAAGACATAATATGAACATGGCTAAAAAGAAGAATCCTAAATAAATGTTAAAAAAGCATCTTCCACTAAAAAAAAATTTGTAAAATCTAAAGCCCTAGCCAATAAAGTTCAATTATCCTCAAACTAAACCACTTGAAGCTAATGTGCTTCTCTGACTTGTTTTTTTCACATGATAGCAATTTTGTGCATTGGCGAATATTTAACGATTCTGGTTGGAAAAATATTCCCTGCCAAAAAAGAATTTAAAAATAATCCTCCCCCCAAACATTAAAAAAAAGCTTCCTAAAATAATCAAAAATATAGGAAGATTTCTGAATCATAATCTACACCAAATCTTGGCGAGTTCTGGGAAGTGTCCCATGAGAAACTAAAAAGAAACTATCACAGAAGTTGATTAACTAAAAGGGTATAATTCGTAGCTTCCCTCGGGCAAAGCTGAACATATTTTTCTTTAAGTTTGCAAATTAAAATTCCATATTTGACACCTCGGCAGTTTTAGTTGGCACGATAGATCACAAAATGGAAATATGCCTCCTTAATATCTAACTTTTAGCATTAAAACTTGAAATTGAATAACATATTCAAAAAGAAACCACCCTAAGAATAGCTATGTCGATCCCCCTCCCCTTTGGGCACCTTTGAACAGTTATACAAAAAATGTATTTTTATGAAACTAAAAATTTCCTTCCTAAATAAGAATTTTTAAAGAAAACTTTTTCAAACCTAGATCTCTAGATAGGGAATCCAAAGTTATATTTTAAGCATATGTAGATAACGAAAATGCTAGGTTTATTTTAGGAATAGAAAACTAAAAATCTTCTGGAAATCAAAACGATTATAAATTAAAAATATTTTGGATAGTGCGTACAAGTTGATCTCAACAGTATACAACAGACAGAGAAAAAAAAATTGTGTCTTAGCACATAAAATACTTTAACTAGCATAGATAATTAATAAATCACAATATATAAGTAATGCTCTTTTTCATAACATATATTTCATCTACTATTTTGAGAATCAGAATAAATCAATTAAGCGTAGATACAAACTTTATTTAAAGCTGAGAATCAACAATAAAAAATGTAATGCTAGTTATGAATATATTCATTAAACATTCTACTAATTTCTAAAAAAAGAATATTTTCGGCTGATCTAATGAAAATCTTTTATTTTTTTGAACGAAAGTTTGTTTACAATAGAATTCGTCAGCTTTTGACTCTTTCTTTTTGCTCAATGGAATTAATGGTTACTTTGTCACTAGAAGAAAACACAGATGGCGCTAATGATTACTATTCGTCGTAACACTTTCGGACTACTACTTCCGATTTATTTTAACGTCCAACTTTGAAAAAGCGGGCTAACAAATAAATATACTTGTAGTGTTTGCAGTATAACACAGTATCAGATAGAGGTGGTACTATTTTTAATAGAACAAAACAAGTCCTTGCTTTCGCCGATAATGTAATATTTATAGCAAGAAGTAAAAATGCACTTGTTGACCTTTTTAAGGACTTAACCAAAGAAGATAGGCTTTTTGGTTAGAAATAAATTTTGATAAGACCAAAAACATGATAATGGATTTTAAGGGAACGGATATGGAGTCAGAACTACAAATTAATGAAATGACAAAATTTGAAAGAGTTAGAGAATTTAAGTACTTGGATTCAGTTGTCACTGAAAACAATGATATTATGCCAGAGATTAAGCAAAGACTAAATGTTGGAAATCGCAGTTATTTTGTACTTAAGAGATTGCTAACATCAAAAGTAATAACGCGGAAAACAAAGCTTCAGGTTTATGAAACTATAATAAGACCAACCGTTATCTATGGATCAGAAGAAAAAATGCTGTACCTGGGAAAGAAACTAGTATTTTTGTACCTGTCAAAGAGGGTGATCTACGAAGAAGGCGGTGCAATTTTGAAATTGCGAGACTATTTAAAGGAAAAGATATATTCAATTATGTAAAAGCAAAGAGAATTCAATGGCTAGGACACCTTCAGAGAATGGAGGAAAACAAAGGCATTAAGAAGATATGCTGGAGGCAGTGCCAGGTCCAAAGGAAAAGAGGAAGGCTGGCCAAGAGATGGTTAGACGAGGTGGAAAAAGACCTTAAGGCTCTAAAGGTCCGAAGCTGGAAACAAAGCGCTAGAGACAGGCGACATTGGAGAAAATTATTAGTGAGGCCATGGTCCAACATGGACTGTAATGCCAGGGAGTTAGTTAGTTTACAGTATGACACGTTCCTTCATTTTAAATTCAGTTTAATTAGTTTTGCTTTAGTAGAAGTCGAATTTGGACAACTTCACTGGCTTGTTATAGTGCTTGATGCTACCCAAAAAGTAACTAACGCCAATATTTTACACAAATATTGGCGATCGAAATGGGCTGCAGGTGGCGTAGAGCAGAACTCTCTACCTATGACAACACATCACGGGCTTTCCCCATTTGCGTGTGGAGAGTCATAGAGGAAGGAAGTACGTTAGATTCTCTCTTGATATTCATATAGATTAAAATCTTTTAGGTTGGAAAACTATATGGAACTGAAAACTACATTAAACATAGTTCTAAAGAAAAGCATCACGGAAATTTTAGAAAATATTTTTAATAAAAAAAAAGGAAAAATAATAAGAAAAGGGTAGTACATCAATAGTACGAGGGTAGTGGGATCGTAGTACATTTCTATACAACTGAAGAGAGGAGGAGAGGGAAGGGAGAAGAGCCAAAGGCATGAAATCGGTCTTTCCCCAGATGGCGTATTTGAGCGTTGCGATCGCCAATAGCAAATAGGGTATAATTCCAAAACATGGCAAACCTTATAAATGTTGTGATGTTAGTTTTTTAAAATTTATTTAAGGCTCACTACAGAAAACGCTCTAGAACGGTAATATTATGCGCAAATGTAAGTACAAAAATGAAACTTCTAAAAATGGATGATATTATCAATATAAATGTAAACTTAACAAACTTGAGCTCAATACCTGCTCTAGTTCCTGTTAGAAAGTTTGCAACTGCTTACTACAGTTTATTCTGCGAGGCGATATTTTCAAACGAATAATTTTGCTTCCAATAAAAGAAGTAAATTAGATAATTTCTGAGTATTTCATAAGATATTAATGCTATTAAGTAATTCTGGTGAGTTTGAAGTGAAAATTCGCTTTAGTTACTTATAGATATATCGTTAAAAAAGGTGACATGGTTGCTGGATTTTGAGTAACTCGCTTTTTTTGGTAGTCCTGATTTGGCCTCTTTCCATTTGTTTATTAATGTTTTTCTTGTTGCAAGCTGTGCACCATCTTACGTTAGTGTTAGCACCTTTGGCATTGTAAACACAAGCGTTGTTAGCATTGAGAATCTCAAAACACAATAATCACGTTGTGTGTCAAATGGCTTTAAAATATACCGGAAACAGTAACCTGGAAGTTTAGGCGGTATAGAGCTTGCAGCGCTCCCTAGTGTAGAAAACACCATCCATATCAAGCTTGTTCACGCATCACCTCGTAAACGTAATATTAACGGAAGTACACACCGGAAATTTTCTAAATTTTTTTCCGGTTTTAGGAAGCCTGCTTTTGGTTGATGTTTTCAATATAAATGTAAACAATCTCGAGCTCTTGACCTGCTCAACTTCCTGTTAAAAAGTGCACAGCAGCTTACCACAGCTTATTGTACGAGGTGATATATACAGCTGCTTACTGCAGCTCATTTCTATGATATTCTATGATATTTTCAAACAGATAATTGTTTTTTTGAGGAAAGAAATAATTTGCTTAAAAAGTTGGAGATATGGCGAAATACTAAAAGTAATATTAGCATTAAGGGGGATTAAAATTTGGATAGCTCTCCTAACCAAACTATGGGGCGATATATACTAGATTTCGGCTGCCCCCTATATTTCCGGGGTCAAAAATCTGAATTAGTAAGTAAATTTACTTTTATTCAGAGAAAGTATGCTTTTGAGTCCAATTTCATAATTTTAAATAACGTCTACACTAATTAGCACGAGGTCATCCCCTCGAATCACTAAGAAAGAGTCCTATAACATGTAGATCAGATCAAAAGTTATTCAGGGTAGTTTTTTTTTTTTTTTGATGCACCGTCATGTGGGGCTACTTTGCGCAGCGGGGGCTACTTTGTGCAAATTCGAATTTGGCACTTTTCAAGTGCTGCTATTCAGTATTATGTTTTTTTCACTTTAAAAATGTGTGGAATTTGAAGATAAAAATCTCCTCTATTACTACAAAACAATTTTCGAATTTTAAAACAATCTCAGAGTGTGTTTTGTTTATCTAATGTCAACACCTTTCCGAGAACGTCGGACTTCGAAAACTGTGCCTGGAAACTTTAGCTGTGAAATGCAAAGACGTTGATAAAACAATTGTCGTAAGTGCGAAATTTTTTATTAATATATTAATAAACAGTTATATCATGTTAGTGTTAAAAAAATTTGAAAATTAATAACAAATAAACGGAAAATGAAAAAAATGCAATGTGGGGCTACTTTGTGCAAAGTTTCATTCGTTTTTTTTTTCGACAGAAAAATTGTCAGGCGTTATAAAAAAATACCTTGGACGAGAAACTACCGTGATTACACTTTAGAAAATGTGCAACAATGTTTGCAAGCAGTTGCTGGTGGTAAGTCGATTGCAGAAGCTTCTCGGAAGTACAAAATCCACAGAAATACTCTCTCTAATAAAATTCACAAGAAACACGTGAAACGTGCTTGTAAACTATTATTTTACTCCTACAAAGATTTTTCCAATGAATTAATCAAACGATTTAACACATAAAAATATATTTTATAGGACATCAGGTGATTTTGACAGAAACTGAAGAGCAAGTTCTGTCATGTTCATTCAGGCATGTTATGTTCAAATTTATCAATATTATAAATGTTAATGAATATGCAATAATTATTATTTTTGAAATTTCATCCATTTCAATGTTCAAAAAATGCATATGGTTTCCTTTTGTTTAAACTCAAATGTTTTGAAATAAACATTCTTTTTAAGAAAAAATTCTTTATAAAAAAAGGTTTTTTAACGCTGAAAATTATTTTCAAACTAATATCTTTACATATCTTGATGTTTTTGTTATTAAAAATGTCAACAATAAACTTTGTTAGCAATTTTATATCAATATTTTACTAAAAGCATGATTATTAAACTGAATTCTTATCGCTGCTCAAAGTAGCCCCCAAGTGGGGGCTACTTTGTGCAAGGTATGGTGAATTATTATTTGTAAATATTACATACAAATAATGCCAATATTGATCAAATTCACTCGTCTGAGTCCAGTTAGGAATATAATATCGATAGATTTTACTAAAGTTTCAATTAACATAGTGTTTTTACATGTCAAAGTTCAAAAACTGCGAAATCCTGCACAAAGTATTCCCAGATGACGGCACTATACTTTTAAGACTTATTTTTTAAACTTCTTTAATCCTTTAATGATATATATATTTTAAAAGTTGGGTGTAAAATTGACCCCGATTATTATATTTCCCATTTTATCATAGTTTATGTTTCAGCACTACGGAACTGCATCGATGATTTAATCGCTCGAATTAAAATAATTTATATACTCAAGTTCTTTGTAATTTTACGTTTATCTAATTTCAAAATGCCATTATTTATAGTTTCACTTTACAATAGTTGATCAATTGTACGCAAATTCTCTTTCTTTAAAAATTTATTTTAGAGTGTGATTAGCGTAAACACCTTTATTTTTTTACTCAGTTCATTTGATAACATTTTGAAACAGAATTTAAGAATTTTTTAAACTTTGAGTATTTATTAATTTAGGTCCAATTAACCTAAATACACGTTTAGAATTTTAATAATGTACGGTTAAGAAATACTGCATGAAACACCAGTGCCTTTTTCTGCTCGTTAATGGTTAAAAATCTTCCAAACACTTTCATTTCAAAAACAAACAATAATAATAATAATGTCAAATTTGAAGTTTATATCTAAGCGAAATATTAATCTCTGACATTTCTTTGCAAGAGAGATTTAAAATGTTTGAATATGAATGAGAAGAAATTTTCAAACTACTTTCTTGGATCTTCAATTTTAATAGAAATATAATTCCGATAATCCGATTTTATTAAGTATAAGACTTTATTAAAAATACAGATATATTTTGCTTGTTATTAGAGAGAGTCAGAAAAAAATAAGACCCATGACCCATCTGTGTCAAAAAGAAAGATGCTTCAATAAAATTAAGCTGATGGAATTATCAGTAAAAAGACAATATATTTCTACAACTATCCGTACCGATTTTATAACTGGAAATAACCCATTTTCAAATTAAAAAAAAAAAACAAAAAAAACACGTTTTTTAAATACTCTAGAATGGGATTTAAAAATTTAGAGTTCAAACTTTCTGAATTAGTTTATGGAAATTCACGCTTTGACCATCAGCATAAAAAAGTCGTAAAAATTGTACTAAAGATATTGATGTTAGAGGAATAGTTTGCAATGAAATTTGACCTTTCAGCTGCTCCTGTTCTCAAAAATGTTTAGTTATGAATTTAAATATGTTTTTCTTCACACTACAGTATTAATTTGCGATCTCTAATTTACAAAAAGAATTTTTAACTTCAATTGTTGCAATAATTTTTTTTTTCAAATGGCAGGCACTGAACTTTATTCTTCGCCTCAGAAGATGCCGGAATTGTTACTAATTTTACGTTACCCAGTGGGCACCTGTGAACCAAAGTCACGGAGGCGAGCAACATTACCCACGTCACACTGCCACAAACCCGTTCATAGGGTGGGCCACATTCACACATCACACACAACAGAGGACAACACATGGAGAGAAACATTCATGCCCAGAGCGGGATTCGAACCAGAAGCCATTGGCTTCGCAGTCAAGCTCTCTAACCGTTCGGCCACCTGGCCGGCTGCAAGAATTCTAATAATGTATATCAAGAGGATTCTTTACAAAACACCTTGTATTTACAAGTTTTTAATAAAAATAAAAATTAAAATTTATGAAACTCACAAAAGTCAAACATAATGCCAATTTATTTAAGATCTTTTTTATTACATCATTACCCGTACAATATCTAGATGTTATTATGATTTTTTAAATTTGAAGTTAATCTTATTAAAACGGGTATGGTCCTTCAGTTTCAATTATGAATGTCCGTTTGATTTGACTTAACCGAGGAATTTGATTTGGATTGGAGTGAGGATCATGTTTTCAGTCAGGAGTTCAGCTGAAGTTCTGGCAAAGACATGCCTGTCGAAGGGGAATCCCATTGGCTTCTTGTCTGGATATTTCTGATCTTTAGCACCGCAATAACTGACAGCATCATTGCAAATAGTCTTAACATTGGCTCCTTCAGGCTGTAAATAATTAAGTTAAACTTAGTTATTATAGAAAAAGTAAGTTACGTAATAATTAAATATAAATAAGTTGAAAATAAAAAGGTTAGGTTCAAATAATTGCTTACTTGGACCAAAGGTTAGGTCCAAATAAGCAATAAAAGCTAGTTATTATTGAAACATAATTAAGTGCAAATAATTGAGGATTGAGGCTATTAATTAAATAGAAATTAGATATGTTAGAAACAATTAGACACACAATGAAGGAGTGGAGAATTCAAACAATTTTATTTTTTAATTCAAATTGCTTATATTAAATTAAATTCAAATTTAACAGTATAGTTGTGCGTGTTATAGAGGTAGGTTGAAAATGACGAAGTCTCTTAAGATTTTAGTCAGAGTGCGGAAAAGTTGTTAACTATCACTATTAAAAATAAGGGAAAATTTTATAACTTTGAACTGATATCGGTGGTCTCCATATTGAACCAAAAATTTGACTAAAAATACTGAAATCAAAAATTTTAGTATTTTTTTGTTGGCTTATGTAAGCGCTTAAAAAATACCAATACTTAACAAGAATAACTATACGAAAGCTAAGAATATAACATCTTCTTCTTCTGATAGATCAACGTAAGCGAATGTTGGCNGTAGGGACCGAGGGTGTGCGGTATAACTGTGCTACCGTGAAGTGCTCGACATCGCGTGCAGGTCGTTGGGCTACCGAAGCGGGGGTGCCATCCCCTCTGCAGAGGATCAAAATTGTGATAGCATGTCTTCGGATCATCCTCAGGAATGTTTCCCAGACCGTCGCCAATAGCCCATTGTGCTGCTCTAGTGCGACGTAAATAAAATACCATACCATACCATACTACTACCATTCTATGAGGCGATATTTTCAAACAGATAATTGTTTTTTTTTAAGGAAAGAAATAATTCGCTTAAAAAGTTAGAGATATAGCGAAATACTAATAGTAATATTAACATTAAGGGGGTTGAAATTTGGATAGCTCTCCTAACCAAACTATGGGGCCATATTTACTTGATTACAGCTGCCCCTATATTTCCGGGGTCAGAAATCCGAATCAGTAAGAAAATTTACTTTTATTCAGAGATATTATTACTTTTATTTCGCTTTTGAGTCCCATTTCATAATTTAAAATATCGTCTACACTAATTAGCATGAGGTCAACCCCTCGAATCACTAAGAATGAGTCCTATAACTTGTAGATCAGATCAAAAGTTATTCAGGGTAGGGTTTTTTTTTTCATTATAATTTTTNTTTTTTTTTTTTTTTTTTTTTTTGATGCACTGTACTTTTAAGACTTATTTTCTGAACTTTTTAAATCCTTTAATGTAATATATATTTTAAAAGTTGGGTGTAAAATTATCCCCGACTACTATATTTCTCATTTTATCATAGCTTATGTTTCAGCACTACCGAATTGCATCGATGATTTAATCGCTCGAATTAAAATAATTAATATACTCAAGTTCTTTGTAATTTTATGTTTATCTAATTTCAAAATGCCATTATTTATAGCTTCAAATTATCTTTCTTTAAAAATTTATTTTAGAGTGTGATTAGCGTAAACAACTTTATTTTTTTGCTCAGTTCATTTGATCACATTTTGAAACAGAATTTAAGAATTCTTCAAACTTTGAGTATTTATTAGTTTAGGTCCAAATAAGCTAAATACACGTTTAGAATTTTAATAATGTACGGTTAAGAAATACTGCATGAAACACCATGCCTTTTTCTGGTCGTTAATGGTTAAAATTCTTCCAAACACAGCTGATTTAAAAAACAAACAAAAATAATAATAATAATAATGTCAAATTGGAAGTTTAGATCTAAGCGAATTATTAATCATTGACATTTCATTACTGTTGCTGTTGTTGTAGTTCATTTACGTCGCACTAGAGCTGCACAATGGGCTATTGGCGACGGTCTGGGAAACATCCCTGAGGATGATCCGAAGACATGCCATCACAATTTTGATCCTCTGCAGAGGGGATGGCACCCCCGCTTCGGTAGCCCAACGACCTGCACGTGAAGTCGAGCACTTTACGGTAGCACAGTTTAACGAGGACCAATACCGCACAACCTCGGTCCCTACGCAGACTGATCCAAGTGGTCATTTCCTTACAAGAGAGATTTAAAATGTTTGAATATGAATGAGAAGAAACTTTCAAACTACTTTCTTGGATCTTCAATTTTAATAGAAATATAATTCCGATAATCTGATTTTATTAAGTGTAAGACTTTATTAAAAATACCAATATATTTTGCTTGCTATTAGAGAGAGAGTCAGAAAAAAACAAGACCCATGACCCATCTGCGTCAAAAAGAAAGATGCTTCAATAAAATTAAGCTGAAGGAATTATCAGTAAAAAGACAGTATATTTCTACAACTATCCGTACCGATTTTATAACTGGAAATAACCCATTTTCAATAGAAACAAAAAAAAAAAAACACGTTTTTTAAATACTATAGAATGGGATTTAAAAATTTATTGTTCAAACTTTCTGAATTAGTTTATGGAAATTCACGCTTTCTTATGACCATCAGCATAAAAAAGTCGTAAAAATTGTACTAAAGATACTGATACTAGAGGAATAGTTTGCAATGAAATTTGCCCTTCCAGCTGCTCCTGTTCTCAAACATGTTTAGTTATAAATTTAAATATGTTTTTCTTCACACTACAGTATTAATTTGTGATCTCTGATTTGCAAAAAGAATTTTTTAACTTCAATTGTTGCAATAATTTTTTTTCAAATGGCAGGCACTGAACTTTATTCTTCGCCTCACAAGATGCCGGAATTGTTACTAATTTTACGTTACCCAGTGGGCACCTGTGAACCAAAATCACGGAGGCGAGCAACATTACCCACGTAACACTACCACAAACCCGTTCATAGGGTGGGCCACATTCACACATCACACACAACAGAGGACAACACATAGAGAGAAACATTCATGCCCAGAGAGGGATTCGAACCAGCAGCCATTGGCTTCGCAGTCAAGCTCGCTAACCGCTCGGCCACCTGACCGGCTGCAAGAATTCTAATAATGTATATCAAGAGGATTCTTTACAAAACACCTTGTATTTACAAGTTTTTAATAAAAATAAAAATTAAAATTTATGAAACTCACAAAAGTCAAACATAATGCCAATTTATTTAAGATCTTTTTTATTACATCATTACCCGTACAATATCTAGATGTTATTATGATTTTTTAAATTTGAAGTTAATCTTATTAAAACGGGTATGGTCCTTCAGTTTCAATTATGAATGTCCGTTTGATTTGACTTAACCGAGGAATTTGATTTGGATTGGAGTGAGGATCATGTTTTCAGTCAGGAGTTCAGCTGAAGTTCTGGCAAAGACATGCCTGTCGAAGGGGAATCCCATTGGCTTCTTGTCTGGATATTTCTGATCTTTAGCACCGCAATAACTGACAGCATCATTGCAAATAGTCTTAACATTGGCTCCTTCAGGCTGTAAATAATTAAGTTAAACTTAGTTATTATAGAAAAAGTAAGTTACGTAATAATTAAATATAAATAAGTTGAAAATAAAAAGGTTGGGTTCAAATAATTGCTTACTTGGACCAAAGGTTAGGTCCAAATAAGCAATAAAAGCTAGTTATTATTGAAACATAATTAAGTGCAAATAATTGAGGATTGAGGCTATTAATTAAATAGAAATTATATATGTTAGAAACAATTAGGCACACAATGAAGGAGTAGAGAATTCAAGCAATTTTATTTTTTAATTCAAAATGCTTATATTAAATTAAATTCAAATTTAACAGTATAGATGTACGTATTATAGAGGTAGGTTGAAAATGACGAAGTCTCTTAAGATTTTAGTCATAGTGCGGAAAAGTTGTTAACTATCACTATTAAAAATAAGGGAAAATTTTATAACTTTGAACTGATATCGGCGGTCTCCACATTGAACCAAAAATTTGACTAAAAATACTGAAATCAAAAATTTTTGTATTTTTTTGTTGGCTTATGTAAGCGCTTAAAAAATACCAATACTTAACAAGAATAACTATACGAAAGCTAAGAATATAACATCTTCTTCTTCTGATAGATCAACGTAAGCGAATGTTGGCTTAAGCCAATGGAAACGGTGCACGGAGAAAAAAATTCTGGTAAAATTACCTTGCTGTATGGTAATGATATTTCTGGTAAAAAAACAAACAATAATTCTGGTAAAATTACCTTGCTGTATGGTAATGATATTTCTGGTAAAAAACAAACAATCATGTTTCTGGTAATAATGATGATTGTTTGTTTGTTTCCATTTGATAATGTTTCCGTTTTAATGGTAACGGCTTAACGAAAATTCTGGTTTTCGAAACCATAGTTCTTATTTCTACATGTTTGAAAAAAAAAAATGCAAAACTGAAAAGTAAATTAAACCGTATAAATAGTCTTCATGCCATGCTCTAAGATATCATGATTGCCAGTTTTTACTACATTTACCAAATTTTAACTCCTATTGTAAAAACATACTTTATTGTTAATTTTACTAAAATCATTACCAAAGCTCTTCGTTAGAAACTACCGACCTATTTGGTATTCCCATAGAGCCAGAAATACAGTAAATTTTACCATATTCTGGTAGATTTGACCACAGTTTTGTCTCAGTGTGGAATTGAATCTTCTGAATTAATATTTTCCGATGTCTCAATGGACTAATCCAAACGTTCATCCGCTTTAGCAACCACTATTCTTTAAGCAAAATTGAACTGAAGTTTTTAATTTTGGTTAGAATGTACCTCTACGGTCACGGACGTTAATGTGAGTTTTGTCTAGACTCTTCATTGAAAATTTCTTGCATTAGTAAACTTTTTCTGTTTAACTTATAAGAAAAATGGTTTCTTACATTATCCTCAGTGTAGTCAGTGAGCATAACAAAGAGTTCATAATCCATGCCCTTGTGTGTTCCTCTGGGTACAAGTGCGTGCTCGGGCCATCCACAGCTGCAATATTCACTGGCGTCTTCTGATCCACTTTGGCCAGCTCTGAGTTCATCGAAAGTATAAGTGTGAGCGAGGGTTACACTTGAGTCAATAGCGTTTCGACTGATCTGGTTTGCTCCTGGTGCCACTAAATAAGACAACAGTACAATAACATACCAGTACAATAACATTAAATAGAATCAGTGATAAATTGGATTTAAAAATATTATTTGTTAAAACAGGATTATAAGAACCACAAACAACAAAAAGGTCCAATTCATTGTTAATAGTTTACAAAGTGCACTGTAATCACTGCCCATTATAATTTTTAGAAAAATGATGACAAAACAGTATGAACATTAAGTGTCACAAATTAACATTTAAGCGAAAAAGAAACGAAAATACAACTGAAATCAGTTGAATCAATAGTTTGGAGAAAAGGGGTGACGAGTTTGATTGCATGATGAAACTCAGAGGTGTCTCTAATAATCATATTTCTGTTTTCTTCTGCAATTAAACAGGTTCGTATTAGTTAGATTACGATAGCATTTTTGTTTTTTTTCCCTTTAAATATTAGCTTGCGACCCTTAATATGCATTTTTTAAAATTAACTTTTGACAGGGATTCTAAAAATATGAATTAAGGGTGGTCTTTAAGGAACACCTCGTGTTACTTATCGTAAGGAGAATGAAAGAAAATTTGCTTCGCATCAGATAAACTGGAGAGTGTTTGTGGATTTGTCTGTCGTTGAATCAAAAATTATAAAAATTGTTCATTCATATTTAAGACTTAACATTCCTAATAAAAATATTAAATTTTCTGTACTGGTTATTCCAAAATCACCGCTTTTAATATAAATTCTTGGAAGTTTGTTAAAAGTGAATTAAAACAATGCTTACACATATTATCGTAAATTAATAATTAAGGGAGAAAAAAAATACAAAAATAGATCAGCGTTTGTAACAGTTTTTTTTTCAAACTTATATATTAATTTTCCACCACTTCTGGTCAAACTTTTTTCTAATTAGTACAAAATTCGATCATAAGTGAGCACTTTGAATAGTGAATTTGAATGAATTATTTTTAATTAGATTATTTGAAAATTTTCATTTATTTACTGTTGTTTTTTTACAAAAAGATCAATTCAAATTGTTTTTTATTTGCATTGTTTTTGGAATTTCTTTTTTTCCCCTAGAACTATTTGTACTACATTGTTTGTATTACACTATTTGTACTACATTTGTACAATATTGCACTATTTGTGCAACAACATTGCATTATTTGTGAATATGCCTGATTTAAAATCAATATTATTAATCATTTCGCTATTTTTACTAACACTGTTTGTGGAATTTTTTTACTGTAGCGCTGTTCATCAAGAACAAATTTGTCTCCTCTTCATCATCTTTAAATTCCACGAAAACTCTAATGGAAGCATGCTTACCTTCTCATAAATTTATATTCAATGACTTGTTTTATCGTCCTTGAATATTTTTTTTTATTTCTTTTTCAAAAACTTACGTTTAATATTAAATCGTTTTTACTTTTTTTGTTTGAATAATTTGCTATATTTGTTTAAATTCAGCATAAAACAATTTTTACTTACATTGTTCGTAGAATTTTTCCGAAGGATCTTCGTTGTTCATCAGGAACCAAATAGGTTACCCAATTTATCATATTTAGATCCAAAGAAAACTCTAACAGTAGCATGCTTCACTTCTCAAAAATTTATATACACCAGTAAATTAGTTTACAGTATTTTTGAGGAATTTTTTTTCCTTTTTCAAGAATTTCAATTTGATTTATTTTTATTTTTTAGTGTGGATAATTTTCTGTTTGTTTAAATTCAACATAAAATTAATTTCACTTATATTGTTTACGGAATTTGTGTCCAATCAATGAAGAGTCTTCGTTGTTCATCAGGAACCAATGGGTAGCAAAATTCATAAGACTTAAGCCAGAAGAAATCTTTGACAGTAGCATGTTTTCTTTCTCAAAAATTTATATTCACCAGTATATTACTTTACAGTCTTTGTTTGAGGATTTTTTTCTTCTTTTTCAAGAATTTAAGTTTAACATTAAATTATTTTTACTTAATTTTTTATTTGCTTGAATTCAGCATTAAATTATTTTTACTTAATTTCCTATTTGTTTAAATTCAGCATTAAATTATTTTTACTTAATTTCCCATTTGTTTAAATTCAGCATTAAATTATTCTTACATAATTTCCTATTTGTTTAAATTCAGCATTAAATTATTTTTACTTAATTTCCTATTTGTTTAAATTCAGCATTAAATTATTTTTACTTACATTGTTTGTGGAATTTGTCCAATTCAATGAAGAGTCTTCGCTGTTCATCAGGAACCAACAGGTTACCCAATTCATCATATTTAGGTCCCAAGAAAACTCTGACGGTGGCGTGCTTTGGTGCACCGCTTTTGTTATCAACATTGATGAGGATTGAGAAAGGTTCATGATCCAAATGGTGATAGCGTACCTATGAAATGAATTAATTAAATATGAAACGAGTTAATTTGATACTGATATTTTTTAATATGTGATGATTATCCCCTCTGCGTTTAGAATTTTGGAACATTGTAAATGTTAATTAAATACTTCGAATATATAATTAAAAAAATTTTCTGTACATTAAAATAACGTTTTATAGTTACATAATGCAAAAAAAAATAATTTTGTACTAATAATTAACTAGTATATCACAAGACTATAGCCAGATATACAGGCTGATATTCCTTAATCATCACCTTTTATATAGATTTATAATTAATAGTAAGAAAAATACCATTATTTAAATAGGTTTTGCAAATCGTTATTTAAACAATTATAAAATAAAAACTTTTGAAAAATCTAACGAATGACTAATAGGAAGGCGAGATTGAAAACATAAATATCTGCTTGATTAGTAAAAAAAACCGAGAGTTAGTGAACAAATCATTTTCCGGTTGCTGGAGGCACTTTCAGATTGTTTGAAACAATTTCAAGTATAATGCAGCATTGAAACTGGCTTAGATGCTTTTATTTTCGTCTTCCTGAATAATAATGCATCAGATTGCTATTACGTTTCTTTTTATTTATTTCTTTTCACGCTTAAATAGCAATTTTTGACGACTTAAGTGGTAAATTCCTTTTATTTTATTCTTATCGAGGATTCTAAATTTATATATACTGAGGGTGGTGATTTCGGAACACCTCGCTTATATGATGAAAAAATGTATTGATATATGATTATTGAAAAATTGTCACTTTTAAAATTTTGAGCTTTTCAAAATTTACAAATTTTGATATAACTTAGTTACTATTTACATTATACATTGTTAGATGTATATGTGGAAGTTATTTGAAAATTTCGGCTCTTTGCAAGTTTTACAATGCGCCAGGCTAATTGAAAATTTTCCAGTATTTTCTACTCAGCTGGTCAATTTTCAAACTGCTTACAGTGTGCACATACATATTTAGGCTAATTAAAAATGCGCGAAAATTCACACAACCAGCCTGATGAATTTACTTAAACTAACAGCAATAAGATTTTGTACAGATCACTACAGTGAATCAAAAAACAGAGCAATGAATGATATACATTTTTTAATTGTCCGATAAGCATTTACAAGACTTATTGCAGACAGCCTGAAATAAATCATGCTAGTTGAGCAATAAATGCTATATTTTTTATCAGCTTAAAAGTACCTAGGCTCATTGCAATACAGCTGAATTGTGTAAAAACTCTAGAGACTTTTCCAACAAGCCTGGCACATCGAAAAATTAACGCCAACGATTTGCAAAGGGTTGGATTTTCTAACTGGTGATCGAAATGGGCTACAGGTGGCGCAAAGCAGAACTCTCTATCTATGGCAACACTTAGCATGATTTCACCATTAGCGTGTGGAGAGTCATAGAAGAAGGAAGGAAGTTAGTTTCTGTCTAGATTTTCAAATAGATTAAAATCTTTTAAGTTAGGAAACTGTATGGAACAGAAAACTACATTGAACATAGATCTAAAAGAAAGCGTCATGGATATTTTAAAAATATTTGTAACAATTAAATGCGAAAAATATTAAGAAAAGGAAAAATATCGTAGTGCATTCCTATACAACTGAAAAGAGAAGGAGAGGGAAGGGAGAAGGGCCAAAGACATGGAACCGATCTTCTCCTCAGATGGCGTATTCGAGCGTTGCTATCGCCTATAACCCTACTCCACATATATCCAATTGTAAACAATCCAAGATTAATAGGCAAAAATTTTTCAGGCTTTCAAAAAATTCTTTAAATTTTTGCCACACTATCATTCATCAGTAAATTCAGATTATTAATGAATAAATAAATAGATTTCCTTACCTTGACTTTGTGGCTAGTTCCAAAGTCAATTCCATGAGAAAGATCAAGTTCCTCATTCTTCATGAATGTGGTCACAACGTTGGTTTGCTTAGCTTTGACTTCAGCGCTTACAACTTTTACACCAGCGAAGGTCAACTAGATATGGAATTAATCAAACCAATTATAAATACCATTTAAGTTGAACCAAATATTTTTAAAGAGAAAGAGATTTTATATTTTGCTTACTTGTTCCCTGGTGTATGGTTTAAGAGTGGCCTTGTACTGTTGGAAGATGTTGTCAACGAATCTGTGCCATCTGTAGAAAATAGGATCTCTGAGGGAAGTTGATGTATCGCTCATGACACCTGGATTTTCCTAAAATAAAATAATACAAATAAAACAATGTATGGTAAATTGTAAATTGGATTGCGATAAGAAATTTAATTTTTATTCCCTAGAGTTATTTTGTATATTATGTATTGTATTTAATTCATACTTCCCTTATATCCGTTGTTTAAAATTTATTAAAATGCAACTAATGGTAATTGGGATTTTATAAAATTCCAAAAATATGAAAATTTAAGACAAACTACTAACTTTAAATAATGATAAACTATTAACTAGAAAAACGATAAACTGTTCGAAACGGAAACATCTACAAAAGGGACACCAAACGGGACACCGGTGTCCCTTTTGTAGATGTTTCTGAAGCTATAATTACATGTAAATTTCTATTTTCGTATTTTTTAATTACAAAAAACGCTGTCTAATTGTTATTAAAAAAATCTGAAAATTTGTCAGAGTTATATTTGTACTAAAATGTTAAATCAAAAAAAGAATAATTAGAAAGTTTTACTTCATATTCAAAAATTTATCAATAATTGATTTTGCAGATTAAAAAAATTTCAATGATGAATAACTGTTTTTCTTAGATCTAAATAACTGAAAATGAGTGCAAATTTGAAAAATTATTGATTGGAAGTGAGCTGTGTTTGGAAGAATTTACCTTTAACCCCCCCCCCCCAAGCACCGGTGTTTCATGCTCTATTTCATAACCACACATTATTAAAATGCTAAATACAATATTTTTTACTTATTTTGACCAAAATTCATACAAAATAATGAAAAAAGTATAAAAAAATATGTTTAATAAAAATTCTACGTCGAAGGGTTAAACTGCCACGTATGTCAATTGAAATTTTCCAAGCTACCAAAACTTATGAAAGTTTAGAATAAGCTGTTAAATTGAAAACCATCGTTAACTATAAATTGTGACAGTTGTTATTTTCTAAAGTCGCAAAACTTAATTAAACGCAAAATGATAAATTGTCAACTTGATCATACGAAACTAAATTTTTTCCCAAATCAAAACTCTTATCCATCCTTTATTATTATATTATGATTAGTATCTAGACGGGTAGGTTTTTGTAATGTTTATTTATACTCACTGTGTATTTTTGAACATAATTCAGATTTTATTTTATGAACTAAATTAGAAAATATTTTAACTAATAAAAAACACTATTTAATTTTAAACTAACATTTTGATCATCGATCTAGGTTTTCCCATACAGAGAACCATAGAAGCTTTTATTTGATGAAAAAGTGCTACTTTTAATAAGGGTAGTTTAGAGTTAAAACCATTAGTTTTATCAAGAAGAAGCTTGTTTAGTAAGCAATTTATCAAATTGTTGATAATTGCATTTATAAAATGTTATTAAAGTAATTGAAATTACTAGTTTAAATATCTCTAAAACAACTAACTCTAATATATTAAGCAAACTTTTTGAGAATTGATCGATATTTATGAAGGTTCATTAAAGACTAAGCTCACAAAATTTTAAGAGTTTACTACTTACTTGGAATCTGCCATCAGGATCGTGCATTCTTGCCATCATTACGTGTCCCCAGTTATGCAAGGAACCATAGAAGCCCTTGTTTGGTGAATTAGAGCTAGCTTCAATGATGGTACCCAAAATGTTAGCACCGTTGGTCTCATCCAAAGGCAATTCATTGTTTTGGGAGTCGTGGACATGGCGAAGATCAATAGCTTCAAGGATACGTTCTCTCCATCTTTCCATATCTTGAACATCAACATCAGTAAGATCTCGAAGACTGAATCCTTGAGGTCTTGAAGCATAGTGCAAACCACTGACGAGAGATGTCAAGTGAGGAGCATAACCTTCAAGTTTTTCTTCAAAGTTGTGGAAGGGGACCATTCTGTTCAAACCGTTAGACAATCTTTCACAATCGTATCTGCAAAATATTTACAAATTAAAAATACGTCCTCAAATAAACTGTTATTTTATTTTGCACATATATACATGTTTATTTTACACATATATACATGTTATAATATTTTACACATCATTTTCAACTATATGTGTTGACACTGATTAAAACCAGATCAACTTTAAACCATAAAACAGAGCTAACTTACTACAAGCGTAATAAGGTGTTGAATTGAACCGTAGTGAAATTTAGAAGGACGATAATATGGTTCAACTTAGCTCTATATTAAGGTTGAAACAAATTTAGGCGATATTATTGTTCGATACGCTCCAATATTTCCAACAGTGTATGTATCTTTTTTTTTAATTGTGCTTCACAATGTGATTTTTTAACATTTCACAGTTAATCTTTGAGTTCCTTCTGGCATTTTAGGGTTTAAAACTGCACATTGTTGTAATTTTTGTAGAATAAATTATAACTAAGTACATTTAAATTGTAATAGTGCTAATAAGTTGTAGCTGCTATAAGTTGTAATTGTACGGCTCATTTTATTTGTAACATAATTAACCATTAAGTTGTAGTTTACTAAGTTGTAATTTTTACAGTTTTATTAAAAGTTTTTGTTTCATTTTATAACCATCAGACCTAATAACTGTTCAGACCCAATTCTTCATGTTTACGACTACTAGTGTTGAACTCCGTAACATTGTTATTTTGAACCCAATCCAGAAGACAAGGGAGCTCCTGAATCAAGCATTAAGAGAAATTTGCCTTAATGGAGGACTTTTTTGATGGAAATAACCCACATTTGTGTTACATGGAGAGGAAAACCACAAAAAACTTCCACGGCTAGCCTAATGGCAAAGGAACTCTAACCCATGATCCGTTTACCACTGAGGATATTTTACGTCAGCATTGTGGTTCAGATGCGGATTTCGTATCAACCAGTCATCACTGGGATTCGAACATGGTTTACCTCATTGGAAGGCGAACGCTCTATCCCCCGAGCAATCACGGCTCAGTTTTAAAAATTGTCTACATTTCGCAAGCAAAATTTCCGTTATTTTACATTTATAATAAATACAAATATTGTTATTACTTGGCATTTATCTGTTGATGCATGCAGTAAAAAAGCTCTCATTTCCTATCCTTGATTTACATACATTAAATTAACTAATTTAAATTGTAACTTCACTAATAAGTTGAAGCTGCAACAGGTTGTCACAGTACTGTAACGTAATTTACATTTGTAACTTAATTTACCATTAAATTATAGATTGCTGAGTTATAATTTTAAAAGTGTTTAAATTTAGTAAACAGATTTACAGTTATTTTATATTTCTAATTAATACAGATATTCTTATTACCTGGCACACATCTGTTGATGCATGTAGTAGAAAAGTTCTCCTTTCCTGTCCTTGACTTTTCCTGTCAGTTCTTCATTCCAGTTGGCTGGGTAAACAACGTGCCAGTACCAATGGTGAGCATTGATTCCAATATCTTCACGGAAATAAGCTAGTTTGTATTCAGGTTCCAGAATGTTACCAGTATCTTCAATTTCAACAACCACATCCTAAACAACAATAAAAAATTCTAAAAAAATTACCAAACAACGGAGGTCGCCATAGCAACGCATGCAATGACGACGCATCATGCGTACTATTTACTATTACCCTTGAACACAGTTGAAATGTGTGATGACGTCCAAATAAGGTGCGCACGCCATCAAGCCGAAAGAACACCCATTTTGTCAATGGGTAAAAGTAGTTTTAATTATGATATTATTTGAACAATTGTACAAGAAAGATCATTTGTATTAGCTCATACTCACTTCAGTTGGCTTATTTCTGGCTTCCTTTTGAGCCAAGTTGATTGTTTCAGCAGGAATGAATCTGTCTGGGAAGACTTCTTGAATGGGAGGCAATGTGATTCCTTTGCAATCATCCCTGTGTACTACTGCCACAGACAAAACGTAGGTGTAAAGTCCCTCATTAACGACTTCTCTGGCTTGAGTAGCCAATTTCAAGAAATCATCGAAGTCGGCGGCAGCTGTAATTCGAAATATATGCTGTTAGCAGTAGAAAAAACTGTGAAATAAGATAATAATCTTTTGTCATTTTACTGTAATCGGAAAGACATGGTGTTCTACAATCACCACCGTTAATATAATTTTATAAGAATTTTTGCAAAAATGAAGTCGAAATTATACACATATTGGAGGCTATAAATAAATACTTATGCGGGGAGAAAATAAATATGCCATCAAAAACTGACGAAATACTATTGAGGAAAGCGAAATTACCAACATCAAAACCTGCTTATTTTCTCTTGGAGATTAAGAAGAAGTTAAAAGCCATTATCAGAAAAACCTTCAAATTTATTGAAGTAATCTGATTGTTTTTATTTTTTTTTTAATACCGCAATCAGTCATGATTCTCTAGATTATGATAACTTTTTTTTGCTTTTTCCCTTTATCGTTAACATTAATTTTCGTTCCTTACCCTGTAAAAAGATTTCGGATCAAATTATGGCAAAAAGTACCGGCACTCAGTCTGCCGGTACTTTTCAGCGTAAAATCTATTTTTACCGCAGCATGCTACGGAATAAGAAATCTGATATACCGTAATTTTTACAGTAATACTTAGCGTTAAATCACTGAATCATTCTAATAAAATAAATATTACTGTAAAAATTACGTTGTAATATTTTACGGTAAAAATTGGATTTTACTGATGATGCAACCAAAGTGCAACAAAAGCAACCAATATACTTTTAACTAAAATTTGATCCGGAATTTTTTACTGTGAAATGTGCGCGTGTTAGACTTCTTTTTTGACCAGGGTTCTAAAAATGTATATTTAGGAGGTTGTTAAGGATATGCTGTTAACCATAAAATTACTGCTGATGTTTTTAGCTAAAGAAAACGTTTTAAATATTGCTAGTAATGCAAAATGCTGTAGCTTCTAGTAACAATAAATAAATAAAATAAAAAATAGGAATGTAATGCTTGATATTTCTGCTGACTTCACTTCTCCGCACAAGTCATTGGAATTTAAGATAGAATCTAAATCGAGTATGTTGATTATTGACAAGTATTTTAATTTATTTGAAATTGTCACAGTTTTATTACATATTTAACATTTTATTGGATGTTATTTTATTCAAATATACATTATTAAAGCAATCATGAATTTATTACTAAAGTCATATAATAAAAATTTGTTTTATGTAATAAAAATACTTTACATAAGAGTTAAATTTAAAATTTTCTTTCATGTATTATAAATTGGAAAATTATTATTTAAATTTAAAGAGGATATCATTAAAGTACTTTATTCATTTTCTGAAATTTGCAACATTTGCTGTACTAAAATTTGTAATAAAAATATCTAAAACATGCTTATGTTATCAATAACAAGTAAACATTATCAATATCTAACTTAAATGAAATCATGGGACAAATTTATACTTGTTTATCAAAAGTGTGACTCAGTCAACACAAGAATTATACAGATTTGAACAAAGAGTTTTTCTTCCATATCATAGTAGCATATTTAAAAGTTACTCTTCCAAGAAGTTATACCAACAAAAAAAACTATTTAAATACTTATTAGAATACCACTTGCTTTGAATTATGAACTTTATTTTTACTTTTTGATATCTGAATTGCATAACACTTTAAATGAATGTAATGTCTGTGGTAATATGAATCTTTCACGCTTTTCATAAATTTTTTTATGTATGCAAATTTCAAAATGTATTGAAATATTCGAGCTGAATTGAAATATTTTATAAAAAATTAAACTTTAAATATTAAAGTTTAAAACTATAAATCATGTATTTAAACTAACTTGCCATTTTTAAATATAATTTTGGAATGTATGTTAATTTTTTAAAACATTTTTTCGTTTAATTGTATATGTGATTTCCTAAATTCTTATTCAAGATGAAAAACATTCTGGTAAAATTATGGTATAGTATGGCAATGACATTTCTGGTTTAAAAAAACACATAATTATGGTTTATGAAACTAAAGTATATGATGCTTAAACCATTTATTTGGTAATTTTTCCATTCATCTGGTAACGGTTTTCCGGAAATTTCGGTTTTCAAAATTCGGTTTCAAACTACGTGTATATATATAAACTAAAATTTATTGCTCTTTAATTTTTTTTAATTAATTAACTGCATAAAATGAACCAATTAAAAAAACGCATCTTAAGTATTCTTTGTTGTAATTATTTTTTTTTGGATTGATTGATTTTTAAAAATATAATCAAGCATCATTAAAAGAAAAGAGAGTATAGAGAGCAAAATGACAAACATCTACTGAAGTTTAAATAATTTTTAATGAAAATGCGTGATGTTGTAATTTAAAAAATATGCTTAGAGACAGTGTTAAAACTAAATTTTATTTTGAAAAATAAATATAAAATATTCTAAAGCAGAATGGCTGTCTTAAAAATGAAAATCGGAATCCGTTAGATCATTTAATGTTTCAACGATATGAAGTAGCTTGAACTTTTTAAAAAATAAATATTCAATACTTAAATTTAGATAATTAATATTTAGGTCGGAAATATTATCAAATATTAGGAGAGTAATAAGAACTTTTTCAGTAGTTAAGATTTAATATGTATTTCTAAAGAAAATACGAGTTTTTTAATATTTATTTTTATATTTAGATTTTCAAACGGAATTTAAAAACAGGCTCACCAAAATTCTTTCAAATTTATTCTAGAAAACTAATAAAAATAAAATTTTGAATAAAAATTATTTATATTAATAAAGTAAAATAGTTTACCAAATGAAATTTCAAAAAACGCGATTGGAAAAAATGATTTTTCTCAATTGGTTGATTTTTAAAATTGAAATCAAGCATCTATAGAGAGTAAAATGACAAGCGTTTATCGCACTTTAGAACTATTTTAATTGAAAATATGCAAAGTAGTAATTTAAAAAAATATGCAGATTTAGTGTTATATAACTAAATTTTTGTATTTCAAAATGAATACGAAATTTTAAACTGCTTAAAAGAAGTCTTTAAATGGAATCTGGCATGATTAGATCATTTAATTTTTCAACGTTATGAAGTAATTTGAACTTTCAGCAAAAAATAAAAATTTAATATTTTAAAGTCAGATAATCAATATTTATGTCGGAAATATTATTAAACATTACGTTATTATAAAAATTTTGCATTACATTATTACAAAAATTACGATGCATTATTATAAAAAAAAAATTTAATTTCAAGATTTAATACATATTTAAAAGAAAAATACAGGTATTTTACTATTTATTTCTGTATTTAAATTTTTAAACAGAATGTAAAATTAGGCTCAATGCTAACGCAGAATTCGCTCAAATTTATCATATATCACTAATAAAAATAAAATTTTGAATAAAAAATCTTTATAATAATAAAATAAAATAATTTACCAAATAAGATCTCAAAAAGCTTAGTGGCTTCCTTCAGGTGTTTCTCATGAAAGCATGAGAAAAGGCTACCTCTGGGCAAAACTCCAACTCCCAGAAGTCTTGGATCCCTTTGGTCTGGAGGCAATTGCTGTCTTGTGACAGAGGTCAACTTCTCAAAAAGAGGCAATAATTTGTCCAGCTTTTCTTTGATAGACATCTTGAGTTTTGAGTCAGGGAATAGCCCAGTAGAAACACACTTGCAAGCTTCTTGGGGACTGCCTCCTGCCTCCAAAATAACTGAGGTTTTATACTAGCCCATGACTCGGCATCATATTGTCTTCTTAGAAGTATTTTCATGTTCATCTTCTTCTTAGTTGAAAGTTATGATCGAAAATAGATTTTTCTTTAAACATATTCTAAGTTTATCTATTATAGATCGAGACAAGGTGCGGCCGGAAATCCGATGTTCGATTTGTGTGGTGTTGATGATCGGGATATTTTTTTGAGCTGAAATGATTCTGGAGACATACGTTTTTGATTTCTTTTTGTTATAGCGTTTTATATTCAATATATCTAAAAATTAGCAAAAATATATTTTAATTGCATTTAAAGATTTAGGAAATATAAATGATATTATTTCGTTATTTGCAATCTTAATAAAATTGTAAATTAAATCAAGTTCTGTTAAAATTGCACCTCGATTTCAAATAAACTAAATTTAAAAAGAACGTCAAACTTTAAAAATAAGATGATTAGTTCGTACCATATTAAAGTTAAAGCAAATTTAAAAGATGTAATTTAGGTCTGCTGAAGGGTTCTTTCTGCGTCTGGGGGAGGAAAGTATGAAAGGGAATCACTGATCGTAGAAATAAAATACGAGCGCGAAACAATTTTATCATCCCACTGTATTTCTTAGCTTCGTTTGACTCTTAACCCACCGTAGTTAGGGATAATAGGAGGGCAATCAGAAGAGTTTGTGCGCGCTTTTGCTTAAATCTAAAAGTGCGGGAAATCTTCGGTTGTTTCATAAGATTTAGCATTAAAAAAAAAGAGCATTCTACCTACCGATTTTTTATAAATGACCTGTCTCTCTTGGGTTATAGTAATTTATACACTTTTCTGCATTCACCCACGAGTCACTTTATCATGTTGTTTCCAAATTTATCAGCACCGAATTCTAATGGAAAATAATTATGTCTTAATGTTCATAAATATCTTCTAGCTAAATACTAAAATAAATAAGTAAAAAGAATAGCTTATTCTTTTTTGCTGTTACATCAATTATCTGTTGTTATATTCATCAACGATTTCGACAAAAACATAATTTTAATTATAAAGTCGTAATTCAAAAAGTAATATATAGTTTCAATAACTATGAATATTACTCTCTTCAATAACTATTTGATATATTTCAAAAAAAATATTCATAATTTTCGTAAATTTCTGAAACAATTAACATTTAATTTTCTTCAAAAAGCTTTAAAAAGAAGTCTTTTAATCACATATTTATTTAAAAAGGAATTCAAAATTTTCTGAAATGTAGCTCGTCTTTGTTTTTTTAATAACTCAAAGATATAATAGATTATCACTGATACTACGCTGAATATTCTACATTTGATTCTTCATTATAAAAAATCACAGTGAATTTAAAATTTTTTCCTTTTACTGTATATTTTGTATTTCAGATTTTTTACTAAAATAAAGCACAAAATAAAAGTTTTTGGGAAAACTGAAAAAGAAATTTTTTTAATCATAAACATAATTAGTTAGCAATTAAATAAAGTTTCTGGAGCTGTTAGATAATAACCAAGTCCTTCATTAAAAGAAAATACAACCGAGATGTTATTGTGACCAAACCTTAATTATGCTAATTAATTAGTACTAATTACAAATTAAGATACGAAATCATACACAAAAACGTACTGTCTCTGAATAAGCCTAATATTTTTACAAAAATAAAAGTAATAATAATGAAAAATAAAAAGGAAGAAAAAACTGGAAAAAACGGCAGTACCCGAGAGTGAAATAGAAGATTTAAAAAAAAAAAAGCCTAGGTAAACCGTAATGATCGAGAGGAGCAATTCTGGGTAAAATGCATTTCCAGGCACTATCCAGAGTTAGTGAGGAATTCATGCCGTTAACAAGGTAATCTGCTTTCATTAGGAATATAACAAGATTCCCGGCCATCAAGATGAGCTGATGTGACAGGGGTGGTAAGAATAAGGGGTAGAAGAAATTGAATTTATGGCCAGGATTCCGAGAATGTGTGAAAATAGATAATTCATCGCAATTTTGATAATGGATAAATCTATTGTGCTCTTTTAGTCGAAAATTTTATACCAGATCTATTTTGTCCGATGCAGCAAAGTTGACAAGGTATTAAATTTATTCCCAAGATTCTAAGAAAGTGCGGCAACAGATGATTTATCATATTCTTGATAACGGAATTATTTACTATGTTTCTTCAGTCAAAATTTCAAAGCACGTCTATTTTGTCCGATGTAGCAAGTTTGTGCAGGCAACGTATTCATTTTCTGTTTCACTCCTGGCTACTGAGGGTTTCCTAATTTTGTTTTCACTTTTATTTTCCATTTTTCTTTAGAAACTTTACCTATTTTTCAGATTGCTTTTGTTTTCCTCACTCATGTTTGGAGAATCTTGCGATTGGGTGCCTATATTTGAGTTCATGAAACATTTTCTTCAATAAAAATGAAGATGGTGATAAAAATTTACATGCTAAGAGTGCTTAAAAATGAATGAGACCATGCTTAAAAATGAATGAGACCGTGCTTAAAAATGAATGAGACCATGCTTGAAAATGAATGAGACCATGCTTAAAAATGAATGAGATCATGCTTAAAAATGAATGAGACGCCAGACATGAATGACTTCGTGACGCGAATTTTTGAGCGCTAGTAACACATTATATTAAATTAAAATACTGAAAGCAGTATTAAAATAAGTTATAAGTAGGATAATAGTTGTTGATTTTAGATTGGAAAAATAGTAGTAAGAAATTAGACATAACTATCTAAAAAAATCAATGCAGTAAATTTGTTTTTACTGCTAATCTTAAACTTTTAAGGATGTCAAACAATTCCGTCTGCAATTGAAATTTCAACAAGACTAAATTCAGCATGATTTCAGACTGGTTTTAAAATTTTCTGTTTTTAGTGTTTGCTATTTAACATATTTATGATATAACAATATTTTGTGAATTGGACTAAAGTTGAGAAATAATAACGTTGAAAAAATTTGATTAAAAAGTTGTTAATATTAAGTACCATTATTATGTATCATTATTATTATCAACATTTAAAAGGGCAACCTTAATAAAATTAGAGGGAGAGAATAAGTTTGAACGTCAAAATAAAACAGTAATTTCAGAATTTTTTGTCCATTTAAAAAACATCAGAACCTGTTGTATTTTTTGCGTTGCACATATGTACATTTACTTTTCATTCGACGAATAAATAATAAACAATTTGAAAATAATCAATAATTTATCTTCCTTTTTTTTGAAAAAATATTATGCTAAGTAAATATTCAGCTGTTTTGCATCGAATAACTTTAAAGCAGTAGAATAATTTTAATTTCTTAAGTTTAATTATCAACAATTATATACTTTCTACTATTAAGAACTTGACAATAGTTTAAAAACGAGCATTTAATTTAATGGAAAACATAAATTAAAATACTAAAAAAAATATATTAGTATATTATTGAAAAAATAATCTACCTAGCATCTTAAAAAATAATATTTTGAATAATGAGAAACTACCTTTACAAAAATTGAAAGTATTTTTGAGATTTATATGAGGTTGTTTTGAGGTTTATTCGAAGTTGTTTTCAAAAACAACTTTAAAAGATCAACTTCCCAAGGTGTATAATCAAGGTGTATGAAGCTGTTTTATTTACACTTGAGGTTGTTTTGAGATTGATAAAAATCTACTTCTTTGGAGCAACCAGCTTTGGAAGGTTGTTTTTGAGGTGTACGGATTATTTATTCTACACTTCAAGCAAATACGTATATTTGAGGAATGAATAACTTCATCCGATCTAGACTAAAATTGTTTCTGAGTTATATTATTGATTTTGTGAAGTGTAAATGAGGTTGAAATTGCGGTTTATTAATGAGGTTATTGTTGATGCAAATTTTGGTATTTTTTTACGTCCGACAACCTAAAAAATACTTAATTTTTTAGAAAGAGTATAATTAAAGAGTTGGTAAAATAGTTCTATAAAGCACACGCTGCCAGGTAATTAAAAAGAAAAATTAAGATTCAAACATTCAAGACGATATATTACACTCTGCGAAATTTAAGACTTTTTTAAATGTTTGCTGCTTATTTGGCTGCTCTATTCTCTTTATAGTGATATGAAATATTAAAATATGATTTCGCACAATCATCGTTGATATTACAATTTTAATCAAGAAGATACAACCGGCACCTTTTACGAAACTTTTATCTTCATTTAAGTTGTAATTGCTTTATACGAGTAAATACAAAACACACATGGAAGAAATTGATAATTATATTACTCCAAATTAATGCATATGTAAGTATATTACTAAAATTGCACCAATTATTCAATGAAACTACTAAAATAAAATTAGAAAAAGCAGATTTATAACAACATTCTATCAGAGACATGGTTTTCGAAATCTCAACATCCGTTGAATATAACGTTTTATTCAAATCTCTTTGCTAAATCACGAATGAATTTTCAGTCGACTTAAAAAAAGAAACATCGTATTTCTTAATTAAAAAGAAAAAAGAATAACACTCGGCTGTCAGCGAATAAAATATGAATGAAATTTTAAGCTGCGCGTGAGTAAGTCACGTTTCTCGTAAGTTAACACATTTAAATATTAATCGCCCCATTTTAATATTTATACATAGTTACCAAATGATTTTTTAAAAAATAATTTATTTTAATTTTTCTCGTCTTCTACTGAATAAAAAGTGGTGAAACTTTAGATTTTGCAATAGAAAAATACATAGTATAAGACATAGGACATAGACATAGAAAATACATAGACATGGTATAAAAAATTTAGACCTCATAATTTAAAATTTTATCTATAATTAAATTAAATAATAAAAAACAGAAAGGAATTATTAAAAATTAAATTATTGTTTGCATGATATTATTTTTGGATAAATGGGTTTCATGAGTGGCACTGTGGGCCAGAGGATCATGATCTTTGGCCAAAGGTCAAAAATTAAATTTTCAACTAAAATATGTGTAGGCAGTTTTAATATAGCCCAAATTAAGTATTCATAATCATTCCAAGCATTATAATTT